CTGAAGGCACAGAGGGTAAAGCCTAATGGTGGGTTCTCTTCATTTTCTAACTTTTAGAAAGCATCAGAAGAGGTTCCTCCTGTAAAATCAAGCAGAGAACCACGCAGCTGCCAGTCTGCAAAGCCACGGGGAAGCTTTAATGAATGCTTATGAGTCAACATAAACCCTCAAGTGAACAAGGAGTGTGATATGGCATTAATTTCTCTCAATACAATTGCCACATTGCTACAAGTCCTTGGTGAGGGGTAAGAAAATGAGGTGATTCACAGCTTTGCTTCATTCTACTACCCCAACTTTAAGAATGCAGTCATACAAAGTGAGACTAGCCCAGTGTCCCAGTGACACTGCTGCTTTGCTGAAGTGATAATTCCACGTGCATGGAGGCTGGATACTCACTCACCACCGCACTGCTGTGCCGCCACCAAACAACACCCTCAGTTTTGAAGGATCTACATGGGAAATCTGTTTCAACACTGCTTTGTATTCAGGAACCTCAGAGATTAAAATCATAGACAACATCTCCCATTATCAATATACGTTGAGTTATTTAGAAGATTTTCAAGGGACTGTGTTCATTTTTTCAATGTCACTGTGAAATTTTTAATGAGCTAAAGTGTTTTTGTCCAAAATTATCCGGCTGGTGGCACGAGCTCCAGAACAGATGCTGACATTTTACATGTAGACCGGTCCTCAATGAAGGAACGCTTGATTAAAACGGGGGATTTAAGAGATTTTAGAAAATTCCATGTTCACCTCCAAAATACCAAATATTTGCTTTATTTTTCATTAGTAGCTTAATGTCTTTCTGTTTCACTATTTCTAAATGCTACAGAGGCCTTCACAATTATAAAGTATAGAATCTTACACATATGTAAAATTTTTATCATCTTTCTCCAAATACATATATGATTATAATGAACAAACATAAAATTTAGGAATTTGAAAATATTGGCCAGATTTTAACTGGCAGATAGACACTTATGATTAAAGGGCCAGTTCACACAGCTGCAATTTTATGTAGGCTTGGCAGAGTTTGAGCAAAGATAGTCATTTTCTTTGAAGACAAAAGATATCACTTCTCAGGCTCTTGTTAATTTAATTGTATGGACAGAAAAGCCAAGTAATCAATCACCTCAAGAATCAGAAGACTGGGGTACAAGTTGGCATTCTGCTCCATAGCAGCTTGACTCTCTTCCCTTTCCTGTCTGCTTTCATTATTGGTCAATCCCAATTTAAAGACTTTAGAGGTTTACACATGCCACTGTAGCTCTCACTATTATTTTTCTTTACAATATTTCATGATATACAAGCATATCAGAGGCTGGTAAAACAGCAAAAATGTGTGTGATGACAGAGATCACTGATGAACTGTCTCTAAAAAAAATCAACTTCAGTGTAGGGGACGAATGTTCAATTCCCACCTACAGCTGTAATTAAAAGGATTTCCTGTAAGGGATGTTTGGATATAGGTCAATGATAAATACATTAATAAAAGAGATCTGAAATTACATTACATATGATGATTTTAAGGTTAAAATTTAATTAATACTTTTATCTAAATAGTAATCTGAAGTTTAAAGCATATTTGTTCATGGATTTGGCCTATTTACTAAGGGCTTCACCTACCCACACTGTCCAGGGTCAGGAGTATTCTGTGCATATAGAAGACAATCTGCCTTCCTTATTGGAGTTCATAATCCACCAGAAGAAGACACTGGCCCCTCCCACCTAAAGCAAGACAGCTGACTGTTTCTTATCAAATCTTATATAAACCGGACAGGAACCTGGAAAGGAATGACCATCAATCAAAGTTGGACTTTGTCTTTTGGGGTCCTAATTAGTCAAGGAATTTTTAGAGCTTCTCTGATTTTAAAAATTTTCTTAGGTTTAACTATTGACACTTTCTTTAGGTTACTTTTTGCTGTTTGTTTTCCTTTTGCATTTGAGAAACGCGCTCTTCTCCAAGATCATAGAGTTTTGTTCTTTTTCTCTCTCTTTTATTTTTTAGAAGACATTTTCTTCCAAATGTTTTTAAAGTTTCCTTTTCATATTCAAAAATTCTGTACTTTTGGAACTGACTTTAAGCATGGTATGAGGAAGGGATTCTATTTCTTTTATCGCACCATGGGTAAGTACTTGTCACACAGGGATCCACTTAATAGTACATTCTTTCTCTCCTAGGTGTGAAGGTCCCCATCACACACCATGATCCCATGCCTATGAGGAATCTGTTCTGAACTTTACATCCATCTCTTTAGTCTATTTGTCTATCCCTAAGATTCTAACTTTCATTTTATAAACTATATAGCATTTATCACATTATTTGTGGTAATCAGGACACATCTTCTGGCCTGTTTATAAATTCTTATGAAATCAGTAGCTATGACTCATTTATCTTTTTTGTCACGTGTATGTGTGGTATGTGTGTGTTTGCTTACACATTGTTGCAGTACATGTGTGAGTACATATGGGGGACCCTGGAAGTTGACACTGGTGGTCTTTCTCAATCACTTCCACTTTATTTATTGAGAAAAACAAATCTCTCACTGAACCCAAAACTTACAAATTCTAGTTAGTCTTCCTGAGGATCTCTCATACCTGACTCCTGAATAACTGGGATTACAAGTGACTGCTATACCTGCTTGGTTTTCATGAGGGTTCCGGGTATCCAACTACAGTCTTCATGCTTGCATTACAAGTGCTTTATCCAATGAACCATCTCCCCAGCCCCATTCATTTTCTTATTTCTCACAGCATCTAAATCGGTATTTCTACTGGCTCCTCTATTACATAAGAGATGAGCTTGGCAACAATGCTAACTGTAGAAGTGGAGACACAGATATACCCCACTCATAAGTTACACCCTAAGCAGACTTGATATGTATATTATCGCATCTTTTACTTTCTTAATGCTATAGTAGCTGGGGCCTTGCATATTAGAGAGGGACTGCCCCTCCTAGTGTTTCTTAATTGTAAAAATAACAAACTTGTCTCCAGAGAGAGTATGGGTTTTTTTCCTATGTGAATGAATCAAAGCTCATACAAGTCCATCTACTCTTGTCTTTCCCATCCCAGGGACAGGTCCCAGTCAACTAGACAGCCTCATACTTTAGAGTCCACTGATGTTACTTAAAGAAGCCTGCTCACCCAGCCTTGCCTTGTTTTTCCTGTGGATAAGACAACAGAGATTGTTCCCCTTGTTTCCTTCCTCTGCCTCTTGATTGAACCTGGAGATTCCCTGTGAGGCTCCTATGTCCAAAGACAAGTGAAATAGACTTTTCTCCTAATTACCACCATTTTATTTACATGTATTAATAACCCGATTAAACATATCCAGGTATATTTTAGAACAATGCATAATAAACTAAGCCCCTGTTTTCAGTAATATGAAATAATTTAAACATCAAGAAAATATGAAAGTAGCCTATTAGCTGGCCCCTGTCTTCATTCTAAGCAATTGATAATTGGCAGGATTATTTGATAAGAAACAGCAACACTTTCTGTTTGTTTTCTACAGTGCTGATGATCAGTCCCAGGGCTTTCTCACACTTGCTAGGCAAGTAATACCACTGAGCTACACGCCCAAGTCCCATCAGACGCTTACTCTTTCTGTATCCTAAGAATCAGGTTAACAAGAGTATCAATTTTTTTCCATTTATGCAGAAATTGTTCTCTTAAGAACAGAAAGTTAAGTTCAGAACTGTGATAATCCGTAAGTCTCATCGTATTACAGTTTGTCCTTTCCACAGCTGACAGGATGAACTCTTGAACTGTGTATACTGAGTCTCCACGTTAGTATTTCAAAGAACAAAGTATCTAGAGGAGTTAATCGCAACATGGTGCATCATACAGAGTTACACAGCTCACTACACTAAGCAGTCAGATGCATACTCTGAAATGGGATCAAAACTAATCTTTCCCAAGAACAAACAAAAGAAGCACTCATCCAATTTTCTTTCCTTTCAATAAAAATAATTACATCTGGTTCATCTTTAAGAACATTCAAGTCAGACTCAGCACTAGGTCTATAGCACCATCATGGTGAGCTCTCTTATATATTGGACCTAAATAAGCTGTTTATTTCACAAACGCATTAACAATTCTCCAGTAGTTCAAAGAGCCTTACAAGTGCTATTTTGGCTGTAATTCAGTGGGGAGGATAGAGACAGCACAGCATTTGGAGGCCAATTCCACCTCAGGCACTTATTAGTATTTTCCAGTGGGATAGCATAATTTCTCTGTGTCTCACAAAACAGAAATGGAGAGATTTAGCTTGCTAGCTATACAAAATTAGAATTCTTAAATCCTATATAAGTTCAAAGTATTGACAGAATTTTATCAATACCATTTACGCTAATTGTATGACATTTTAATGTCATAGTACACAGAATTTCCAAAAATAATATTGGTTATATTGGTTTTTATATCATAATGAAAATGAAAGTTTACTTGATTTTTTAAAATCATTAAAAATAAAACTTTAGCCTTTAGTTTTTACTTTTGAGTGATTTTTAGCATTTAAAATGGGCTTTTATTTCGTATGTTCTTCTTGGTTCAACTCCTAAATGCTGAGATTACAGTGTAAGCCACCATACACAGTGAGAATTATTAGATCATTTATTTATTTACATATATGTGGTATGGATGGTCCATGTATATGTGTGAGAGTACAGGTGCCTAGTGCATGCATGAAGAAGTTAGAAGTTGGGTGTCTTCTTCTATCAATCTCTACTTTAGCCCTTTAAAACTGAGTCTTTCATCAAATTGAAAGCTTGCCTATTCTACTAGACTGGCTGGCCAGTGAGTTCCCAGGATCTGCCTGTCTCTGCCTGCAATGCTGAAGTTAAAGGCTTGGACAGCTACACTCAGATTTTGCTTTTGTTTTTCAACTAATAACTTCTTTATTCAGGAAAAGCAAACAAAGATCATATTTAAGTGTCTGAGGAAGGGAATGCTGGGGTCTCCTGTTTGCAGCAGTAGTCCTTCTCACATATGATTACCTGTTAGGTTTGAAGCATCAGTAGGACTCAGTTGTAACCAATGGCGGGCATCAGAGTCAGACACAGCATCTGTGGGAGTGCTGAGTTCTGGGTCCTCATCACAGGTCTGCCACTGGTTCATGGGTAGCTCTGTCTCGTTGCTGGAGCCCACAGCCGTGTCACTACCAGTACTTTCACCTGTCACACAGAGCAAACAAAGTTTGAGACTGCAGCTAGCTGAAGATAAGGTTCAAAATGATCTCCTTGTAAGTAACAACACTTACACAGCTGAAAGGATTTACTCAGGGGTTTGGGTAGAACCTGAAGAACTTGACTGGGGTTCAGTAATGTCCCTGATTGACACTTGCTTAACAAAAATAAATCTTCCAAGTACAGGGTGTTAAAAAGCTTCATAAAGTAGCATTGTGATCAGTGTCTTTGTTCAGTTATTCCTTGTGCCTCAAAGTTACACCAAGTCCTAGTTCCCATTAAGATCTACCCGTAACATGAGGTGATAGAGAAACAGAGGATTATGATGGTAACCCATTTCACAGCATTGCAAATTCACTCTGCTATTGCAAGCCCAGCATTTAGACTTAAACCCAGACTGAATCATGCTGGAGGATTCTGGAATGAAGTGTCCTATTACTACAGATTTACAGCATTGGAAATTTTCTCCTCTAAACACTAGAACGTTTACTTTATCACAATGTAATTATGCAGAGATTTTAAGGCTTATGTAGTTTTTTTATTTGAGTACAAGACAAGCAGAACTGCTTGCCTAGACAGTTCTACTTCCTAACAATGCTGATAGCACCTTAGATAAGCTGTCTCTACTTCTGTCCTCTATCTGCTTGCAAAGAACTGCAAGTTGTCTTACTAAGCAGAAGGTCGTCTGTTGGGTCTCTCAGAATGCCCTCCATAGAGCTATAGGCAATAGACAGGGAAAGCAGTAGGTGGGAAGAACTGCATTACACACTACCAAGGACCAGTCTCGGGGACCGGGGGTGGGGGGAGGCTGAGCAAGGGCTGCCACTCTACCTGGCCTCTAAGCACAAGAGAACAGGACACAGGGCCCAGACTTCACAGAATATGATAACATCTGGGATTCCAGTGAAATTTTATTTTCACACACTTGTCCACTGACTTTGTGTTTCTTCCCTGTGGGTACTTTGTGGGAAAGGTAGCTGTTTTCTTCTGGGTCTATCTGCTCCCCTTAGTCCCTCTTGTTACTTTCTCCTGGAGAAAGGCCCAGGAATCGAGAAACAGGCCTCTTAGGGATAGATAACCGACTTAAACTGTTTTACTAACTGGATTAACTATAAGATTTTTAAGTTCCTGGATCAAAAATATTCTCCACAGCCAGCACTTTCCTATTGACAAGATAACCCACCTCACTTAAAAAAGAAGAAATTAAAACAGGCCCACTCTGCACTCAGCATGCGCAGACCCCGGTTCCTGGAACTTACTCTTCTGTCTCTCCCTGCATTTTCCTTGCGTCTGCTGTAAATCATCCTTCAAATCCAGCTCAGCAGGACTGCTGCTCCTTCGAACCAAGATCTTCAGACAAAAAGAAATACTGCTTTCATTACCAGGAAGTATAAAGTTTTACCAGACTTTTAAGTTCCTAGCCTATTTTTAAATAAAAGAAGCAATAATAGTAACAAAACACTGAATGAAGTTTTCCTTTTGAAGAATGTGTTCACAAGCTACTATAATTAAGTTATATGTTTCTCAAGATCTGAAACTCCAATTCATATTCTCTACTTGGTCAACTGACACGGCGAATGGATATACGAAGAAGGGATGCCAAATCCTGTGGAAATGGTTTGTTTTGAAGTTCTATTTGCTTCTCTAGTCAAGTGCACACACAGTCCCACAATTCTCCAGGAGGCTTGAGCAACCTGTCAATGTTCAAACAGGAAAAGTACATACTCTACCCAGACTTCCAAAGGGATGCTCAGAATCTTCCTAGTTAATATACTACAAAATTTTCTAAACACTTGTAAACACTGGACCTTATGTTAATCACAAAGGATTAAAAAAATCAGGAGGCAACCTGCATCTTCTAGCAACTTATAATTAGCTTGGAGAGACAAAACATACACAAACTAGACAAAATAAAACAATAATGTACATAAGTAAAATATGCAAATAAACTTTCTGTGAAAGGTATGTAAAATAAAGTGTACCTTAATCAGCTGACAGTTACAGGAGAGTAGTTCAAGAACGCAATAGACATGAAGAGGTAGAGGGAAGACAGGAGGAAACCAAAGCAGGAAGCACAGGCTGGTAATCAGCGAGTTCTATGTGCAGAAAGGGAGCTGATTATAGCAGGCCATGCAGAACAGCCAGGAGGAGAAGGAAAGAGAGGAAAAATGCACTTTTTAAAAGAGGCAGTGGCCAGGGAGCACTTAACATGAGGTTTAGAATGTTGGACCTAATACTAACATGAAAAACTGAATATTACAGACAGTAGCTAAGTGTCCTTAAACCCTAACCAGAAGGACTTGTGATGTGGTGGGTATTGGTGAAGAGAGAGCTGCTAATGAACTGACAGGGCAGCAAATGAGGAGAGGAAGAGAAAAGGGGAGAAGAATGCTGCAGTGTGGGACTAGAACTTTCCACAAGTGTGTGTGAGGAAAAGAAGGTTAAGTCACAGAACAATGAAAATAACAGAGACTAATGAAGACGGAGAGAAAAGTGGAAAGAAAGAACACATCTTGAGAATGCCTGATGTCTTTGGGCTGAATAGTAAAACAAAAACAAACAAAACAAAAAACCTGAGAATGATGGGAAAGAGAAGAAAGCCAGGAATGAGATAGGGTCAAGCTTCAGGATGTAACACACACCCCAAAGCCCCGAGATTTATGAGCCACTTAAAGCAATCAAATAAAAAGGAAAAATGCATAATTATAGTTATCAGTCTATGAAAAAGCAAGTCCTGAATAAAGTATTTACAAAACTCATGCTGTACACTATGGTTTCTCTTCAGATCGTATAAATCTTTCGCCTTTTACAAAACTCATGCTGTATGAAAAATCACTACACAGCTTTAATAAACAGTGATTTACACCAAATGACCCAAATAAAATTGGCTCGTGATACTTCCTGAACTGTACAGTGGAATGTTTTTGCTTCTGATGCTGGAGAGACAAGATATCCTCCACATGTAGAGCTCATCATACTTCACTTGCACACTGGGACTCACAGGAAGCAGACCTTTAGGATCCACATGCTGTCCTCACATGAGAGCAGAGTGAACAGAGCTCAGGGCAATCTAATAACCCATTGTAAGGGTAAAGCCAGTGCTATCATTGCTAGTGACAAAAAGAACTGAGAGGCAGGATCACAGCATCACTTCCTAACTCATTGAAGATGAATGCTGTCCTGAAGAGTCCCCATCAGTTAGACACTCCAGGTTCCCATGGATTCAATTAGCCATGAGGGTAACTCACAAAGATCAGCAAACAATTCAGGAACAAACCAGCATAAGACTGCCAGAAAAGCTCCAGACAGACTTAGACCCCAGAGGACTGCAGCAAATTAGATAGAGAATATGGAATTATAATTTTTGAGCATTTTAAAGGCATAAAAGGTGAGAATAATAAAAATGACCAAACAACAAGAGATTATTAGAAGTTATAAAAAATATACTTAGAATACATTTGAATTTAGAAGCAAAAGTACACTTGTGAGATAAAAACAAACAAAACAAACCACCTCAACAGAACTAAGGAAGTCCAAACCCCTCCAAGTACAGAACTAGATCCACAGGAAACTCTGCTTGCATTCTGGAACTCACAGGGAGTACCTCCAAGATTATCTCCTAATGTCAGATTGACTGAACTGATAAAAGACAAAGGATACTTTTATCTATCGGTCAAACAGCCCAGAATGCATCCATAGGGCCAAGGAGAATGGATAATATCAAAGGAAATTTAGGAGACATGGAGGGCAGGATAAGAAAGTCTAGTATATTTCTATCTAGAATTCTGGAACAAAAGAGAAGATTGAATCAAAATGTGACCACTTAAAGAAAATGTTACAAGATTTCTCCAAAATAGCAGAAGAAAAGTATCCATAGATACACAGACAACGCAGCATATACCAAAATGGACAAATGCATACACAACACTCTAAGTCTGTACCTGGATGCTCTGCAGTCAAATTTAAAGACAAGGACAAAGACCAGCAAGAAACAACTAGACAGGATAGAGAGAAGGCAACTCAACAGCACCAAGGGGGGAAATACTAGAAAAACTAACTTCTGTAAAAAGAGGTGGGGACAGGAGAAGGAAACAGAACTATGGTCCTTAAGATGTTGTGGTGCTGTTCAGAGACAAAACACCTAAGGAACAAAATCAAGGCTGGTGTCTCCAGAAAACAGCAATTATGACAGAGGGGAGGGGCTGGATCTCCTCCTCCATAATCAAGAGCCACTTCCAGGTGAACAAAAGACTTGAAAGTGTGGAGCACAAGTGAAGCATTTTATAGAATAAAAATAAGGGAAGCCAGGCGGTGGTGGCGCACGCCTTTAATCCCAGCACTCAGGAGGCAGAGGTAGGAGGATCTCTGAGTTTATGGCCAGGCTGGACCGACAGCCTCCAAAACAATACAGCGAAACCCTGTCTCGTAAAACCAAAATAATAATAATAATAATAATAATAATAATAATAATGGAATACTTTATCCTTTTGTAGTTAGAATGTTTTAATTCCACAAAAGGAGGATTTATATTTACCAAAGACACCAGAGTGAAAAAGAGTCACACACAGGGAAGATGTCTATTACAAATATAATCAAAATAAAATCAGTAGCCAACCACTATTCAGATTATACAAAGAACTAACACAAGTAAAAGGAAAAAAAAAGTGAATGACAAAAACCATCAACTGGCATTTCATAGACAAAATATAAACAGTCAATGAACATGAAAACTTTAAACCTTAGTAGTAGTAGTCTAAAAAATTTGAATAAGATACTCCGTTTCCATGCAGTTGACGTGCAAAATTTCAAAAGTCTGACAACACGAAGTGCTGGTGACAACTCTTTATATTGCTGATATTCATAAAGGGGTCACAAGCATTTGAGAAGGAGCATTATCTCGCAGAGAAGAACAATCTTTGCATAATTTATTAATTCTATTGTTAGAGAGTCACACAGAGAAACATTTAAACATGGAGATCTTGAGGAAAGTCTAAGGAGATACAAGACTACATTTTTCAGAAAACTAAAATACTGGAAAGAATCTAAATGCCTATCAACAGAATTGAAAAATAAGTGATATAGTCATGGTGGAGTATCATACAGCAGAAAAACTCAAATGAATTAACTACTACATAACACCATGTGGATATATACAACAAACATACAACCGAGTGAACAAAACAACAGTACTTACAGAATATTTTAGAAACTCCAGAAACTATGTAATACATTGTTTGGAGCTACATACACGTGAATAATAGAGTGTAACACAACCAACACCATGCCACTATAAAGGGAGGCAAAAGGATGGGATTCAAAACAAAACAAAACAAAACAAAACTGGGGCCAAAGCAACAGAACCAGAACTGTTCTGGTGCTTGGCAGGAATGGGCAGCAAGATCTATACAGACAAGCTGGCAAGTGTCTTTCTTAAACACAAAGACACAGGAACTCAACTCTGCTATCTTCCAAAGACGTGGGAGCAGGGAAGGGCCCTTCTGTTCTATTTGTTTTCTATAAACATACACTAAGTTTTAAAACACAAGTAGAGGTTATCTGAAGGAATGAGTTGTAAGCCATTTCTTCTTTAAGTTTTATATTTGCTTTTTTAAATAAATGCCTTCCTTACAAAATAAAATAAAACCACACCATATCTTGTATCAGGTAGGGAATCTGAATTGAAAGTTTTACAGGCAAGTACACCTCCTCAAATTGTACTGCACAACACAAGACCAGCCAGTAAATTCTACTTCATGCCCAACTTCCCCAGCCCCCATTTTTGTAGAACGGCTGTATTTTCATAGAAAGCAAGTACAACCTTAAGTAATGTCGAGATTATTTGGACTCTAATCAATCTAAATGAATAAAAAATTAAAACTATCATCAATAAATTCATTATCATGATATAATTTATGTTTGGTTCTAACAACAAAGAGACTTTCTCTTGGAAATCTTACTGTTATTCCTTCATGTTCTCGCTTCATATGTCCTTTACTCTCTTGAACAGACTTGGATTCTGAAGAGATCAAATTCTGTGAATTTTCTACCTTTTGACCTAGATTTAGGGGTAAATGATAAAATTAATGCATTAGAAGGTAAAAAAGGAGACAAACAGGCAAGCAGACAGGCAGACTGACAGAGGCAGAAACAGATAAACCGTTGTACCCAGATGTCACAGGATATATACATAATTATGGGTCTACAATGGCAGCATCTACAAGTCCATTCTACACAGACACCTGACCTACAGCCCACAGATAGCTTCAATTGAGCAAATGGAACACTGTTCACTGTGGCTCATAGGCTCACTTAGTGTAGGATGCTAGACAGGGGCATATAACACATCACTCTGGGGAAGTGGGTTGAAGACAGCATCTGACAGCAAAGGTCTGCCTGGGTTGGCCTGGGAAGCAACAGGAAAGGAGTAACAGGATGGCTCTGTGTTTCCTGAATATAAAGACTAGCACGAGAAAGCAGAAAGGTTCAATGATTTAAAATGGGATACCACTACAGAGCCTGCAAAGATTAAAAGAAAAGATCATAAGAGCATCTGAAGAATAATCTGGAACCAATAAATTTGAAAGAAATTAACAAACAGAACCAGTTTCTTAGAGAAAAATCAAAACCAAACTACAAAAATCAAAGTAGTATTATAGTCCTTTAATTTGAATTTTTTACTTGGCAAATAATGCATCTTATATAACATGCCATTTTGAAATCTGCATATATAAATCATCATAGTCAGCATATGTACTACCACACACACTCACATGGGCAGAGTACTTAAAAATATCCTCTGGACTGGGCGTAGTGGTGTGTGCCAATAAGCCAGCTCCCAGAGACGAGGGAGAGGACTGCAAGTTCCAGGTCAGCCAGGGCATGGAGACCCTGTCTTAAACAAACAAGCAATGCTCTCTTTGCTCTCCAGGGAGGAAGCACACTGCACTGTGCCCTAGATCAATGGAGCTTTTCTTCCCTCAGGTGAAATTTGTTAAAATTTGAGAGGATTTGAAAACTTTCTTACAGGAAAACCCCAAGCAACTGATGGATTCTCCTAAATATTTAAGGGAATTTTTTTCCTTTGTTTCTACTGATAATCCTAAGGATTAAACCCAGGACCTCCTGTATGTTAGGCAAGCAGTTTACCACAAAGTATATGCCCATATCCCTAATAATCCGTACAAAAGCTTTAAAGAACAGAAAATGTTCAGATAATATATTTTCTCATCATTATTTTTGCTATAACTTCTTATTTCAAGGGGGTTTCTAAGGAAAAATTTCCCTCCACATTTGCTAACCCAATATGAGAAGACACAGGATAACCAGTTGACCAACAAAGCAGGTTGCTTTCTGACTGACTGACTCATGGAACTAAAGCCAGTATTACTGACACTGTACACACTGAAGCGCGCTTTTACTACTCTCTGCAGCTTCCGTAACAACTGACTCCCTCCTTGCCTTCCACACCAGTTACTCCTGAAAACTACACAAACCCAAAGTGTGCTCAGGAAGCGTTCTTTCCAATCTCAGTACAATGTCTGCAGGCTGTGAATAAACATTCACACAGCTGGCCAGCTTTCATTCCCACAGCCTGACCCTCACTGCCTCTCATACTTTCACTACCTTCTGAGTTGCTAAGCTCTTCACTTGGGCAACTCTCTGACCCTTCTACTCCAGACACTTCAGACTCCTCTCTAGTTCCCAGTCATGTCCAACTGGAGGAGTGTAGACATGTACGTATTAGATAAATGCACTAAATAGGAAAAAAGGTCCACATGCAGAAGTCACTTTCTTACAGTCAAATTAAAAAGTAAATACCTGGGTTGGGGAGATGGCTCAATGGTGAAATGCCTGCTGTGCAAGCATAAGAACCTGAGTTCAGATCCCCAGAGGCCATGTAAAAAGCTGGATGAGGCAGCATGGTGCTGTAACCTGGGGCAGAGCAGAGGGAGACAAGAGGCTCCTTAGAGCTTACAGTAAGCTTTCAGATCACCAAAAAGCTCTGCTTCTAAATAAGTGAATGAATGAATGAATGAATGAACGAACGAACAAACAAACAAACAAACAAACAAACAAATAAATAAAATGGGTTGAGAGCCATCAAGGAAAGAACTCAGGTCAACCTCTGGCTTCCAGACATATGCACATATACACACACTCACACTGACAACACACATACAAGATGAAACACCCCCTTCTTTGAAATAGGCATTTAAAATAAATGTAATAAGCAACACTACCTGCAGCTTATCCCCATCCCCAGCCCAAGTCTATGACTTAGTACTAATAACTGAGGACTTAACCAGCCCCAGGGTAATTAATCCTTGTACCTGGGAGGCAGAGGCAGGAGGAAATTTGCAAGTTTGAGGCCTGCTTAGTCAACAAGCTGAGTTCCAGACCTGCCAGGGAAAAAGAGCAGGATGCTGTCTCAAAACTAATCAAACAAACAAACAAACAGCTGAAGATTCCACATACCTTGAGAAGAATCTGAGCATAAAGGCTCAGTGATGTCAGAGGTGCTGCTGCTGCGGGGGACCTGCTGCTGTCCCACCACAAGATACTCAGAGTCAGCAGCAGGTGTGCTCTCTGCCTGCTGGAGTTCCTCCACTTCTAAAAGCATTAACACAAAACACAAAGGACTGGGGTTGGAGACTTTAAAAATACATTTCACACTTAACTGATTTAAAACATTAAGCTTCAGATTTTTCTTTTATTAGAAAGCAGACTGCAATAGATAATCTGCATGCATACCATCAAACTTCGTGTATTTATTAACACTAACATTCCACTCCAGGATACGTTTTTTTTCTTAAGTTCCAATTAGCCTTTTGTTTCCCAGGTGAAGGAAAGGGACAAGGGAAGAAAACCACAAAAATGGTCAGTAACCCTAACTCCTTAGAAATTTCCTAGCAGAAAGGAAAGACTCAACCATGTAGGATATGCATAGGTAGACGTAATATTTGAGGAGAGCACAGGTGGTATTCCCCAACATTAAATTAAGATGAAAGGAAACAGGAATTTTAACTGTATTACTCCTTTTAATAGATAATGCACAACTGCGCAAAATAAAATACTATTTAATCCTCATATTACCATGTGCAAAGTTGAACTAGTCACTAAGCAAAAAACGATCCACATGGTATAAAATGGAAAACCAAAGATGAGCGAGTGCTCAACACCAGCTAATTTTGTTATTATTTTACATCCTTTATTCCCCCTGGAGAATGGGTTCTCTCCTAGCTTATTTCTAAAGTGTGTAGTTCATTTTAATCTTTCAGGACCGTCACAGCACCCCACCCCTTCCCTCTAGACATGTAGTCTCAGGATTACATTATCTGCCTAGGTCATCAGAACAGCCTACTAAGCTACTGCTGCTTCTTTTTGCTATTCCCTACATGGCTACCAAGGAGGCCCCTCTAAAATGAAGGTGTAACTGTGTCTGCCATCAGTCCCCGTGGTCTGTCTCAAGGGATCACAAGGTCGATCCCTAATCATCATGCAAGAGCTGGTACTCTCCTTGGTCTTAGCAATACTGATCCTCTTAGCTCCTGCTGTTCTTTTCCTCCTGCTTTTCACTCACTCCCCTCTACTAATCTCAGTCCTGTCCCCTGTCCCTCAAGCCCATGTTGCTCCAAGCACATACAGCTATACATCTTGCTTTGCATTTTGCATGCAATGCCACTAGTCAGTTCCTTTCTAGACTCCAAACTCATTGATGCTGTCATAAAACTTCATATCTCCATACACATGTCACCATATTTTCCAAAAATAAAAAAATCTAATCAGTGAAAGTTTTACTACTTAAAAAAAGAAAGAGTTCTCAAAACTCAGCCTATAATATCTAAACTGGCTATGTCACTGGCTCCTCACCTGGAATGGAGATTCACTGCCAATAAAGTCCTCTCATCCGCACATAAACCACAGTAAAGGCTCACTGCAGCTAAGGAGATGTGGGTACCCAGGATGATTCTGAGTTTAATGCATGGGATTTCCACAAAAGATTGCTGTTCTGCTTTTTTCTACCCAAATGAAAATTACATTTCCTACAATACTAGCACAATTACAAGGCTCAAAACTATGAGTTTTATGTGAGTCCACTATGAATCGAAGTTCCATTGCCTTAGACCACAGTTTAAAGATGGATGCTAATAGGAAGTTAACACGGAGAGAAGATAGACCAACAGTTTCATCTTTTCCAGGTCATCTCTGCCTAGTGCTTCTCTGGAGCAGCAAAGAACTGTTCATTTTTCCATAGAGGACACACGAGGCACATGTGTACATTTTTAGCATACTTACATCCCCAAAGTAAAGACTAGTTGGCTCTTTGGCACCAAGCCCCTCAACATTATGGGACCAGCCCTTCCTTGCAGTTACCTTCTTGTCCTAATTTTACAAAATGGAGAAATGAAGATATTGTATTTGTAACTCCTGTATCAGTAGAGGGAGCCCAAGAGCTTCCTAACTATCTGAAAATAACTAGCCAGTGCCCGTTTTTGTGGACAGAGGGAAGAGTGGGCTAATTTTTTTCTTTTCTTTTCTTTTTTTTCCCCTCTGAAGCCTAGTGCCAAACACTGGTGGATGCCAGTTTCTGGGTTCTAAGCAGAAGCAAATAAGAGCTGAGCCAACACTGGCAGCCTCTTCCTAAAGATAAAGAACATCGCCATCTGGTGGGATGCAACACAGCCACAGCACCATGGGTTCCAAATTAAAGTGTCCCCACTGGTCCTCAACACAGCAGATGCAGACAGAGGACAAGAAGCCTGCTACCACCAGATGTCTGCCTTCCCAACAGACAGGCCTAATACATCTTTTAAGGCTTTGTTTTTGAAAAACTGTTAAGAGGGACTTCTCAGATGGAGAAAATCCAAGCCTATAGAAAGAACCGGAAATGGCAGGGATGAAGAATGGGAAACTAGAGTTTCCCACATACCTTCCCGTTCTGTTAGGACATAATACTCTTGGAATTGAATATCAATTGAGAAAATGCATAAAAAGAACTTTTAATTGTTCTTATGTCATAATATAAATCCAAATTGCCGATTTGAAGGTGTACATTTCATGGACTTTTGTGTGTGTCAACACTATCAGTATTCAACAAGAGCTCTATGCAAATGGATAAGAGAATGACACACCTCAACACCCTTTCCTTCCTAATGGTTCTTTGGCTCCCTCTGCTGGCATGTTGTTGTTGAAGAAAGCATATTGGGCTAAGGCTACTCCCATTCTGTGTCCTGCTGAGTTACTCTTTTGTAACTAATGAAAATTATTTTTAACACTGATATAAAATGTAAAGACACAGGGTTGCCTGTCAAACAGAAGAATAACATCTGAGTTATAAAACAATTGTGCAATAAATCTCAGATTTGATGCATCCTGTTATGAATGTCACACAATTTCTGTTTGAATCACTTTGAAGAGTTGAATTCTGCCCCAAATTCTAAGTTCATTTATCCTCTGTGAAGTCTAATAACATCCAATTTAAAAGCACTAACTTCCCTGTCTCTTGAGGGTGTAGTTACTCAATACCATAACTAACCCACTGATTATGAAAACTCCATTGAAAACATCAGAAAAATGATCATAAGGATTCATTTCTCTTACCCCCACGAAGAGTCAGCATGACTGAACTAAATGTGTAAGCTCTTCAGTTAACTTCTATTTTCTCCAGATGTCTGTCTGCTTTTTACTCACTCTTTAATTGCACACTTCCTTATTCTATCTTATTAAATGTAGCAAGGCCCTGTCTCCAATAAGCAAAACACTATGTTCCATTTTTCCCCCATACAAGGCTGCACAAGCAAAATTAGAATGCAAGGCCCTAGTTTTAAAAACACAATCAATCATGATGCCTCTTTGACCTTCTAAAAGCACAGGAGCAGCTATTCATTTCACATCTTAGATGTCCACAAGGTCAAGCTTACTGAGAGTAAGTTAGTCCTAGTCCTAACAAGAAGCATGAACAAGACACAGAAGCAGCTAAGCAAGGCCTGTCCTTATGGCCCATGAAGTAAGATAAAGGAAGACAGTCAATTTGCTAGTTATAATAACCATTATAATACTCCCAAAAGAAAAAGAAAAATCTACATGAAAATTCTACACACTGATAAATGTCCCAACAAAGAAAGCAGTCAACATTGTAATACAACTGAGATGGACTGTTCTCATGAAAGAGACAGAGGACTCCCCAGCTGGCACACCTATTCCCAGGTAAATGTTTTTTTTTTCTCAGTGCAGCTACTCAGATTAATGGAAGGGGGTGGTTTTGACTCTCCCCAAATTCAAACACAGTTGCTTCCTGCACTTCCAAATGTGCTACCATTGCTTCTATTATTACAATTTTGGTGGATTGACAACTCACTCAGTTTAGAAACTAAAACAAGGACTACTGCCATCAGTAAAAACAAAATTAACAACCACTGACACAGTAAAAAAGGAAAATCAATCAATCAATCAATCAATCAATAAAATACTCAGCTTGTGGCCAGATGGAAAATTTAGAGAGCAGGAAATACACATCCATTCAGATGTAGATTAGAACCAACCTCAATGCTGCAAATTGCCAACCAGAAAGAATACATATTCCTAGGGCTACCAGCACTTCCCTTGTCTTAGTCTACTGACAGGACAGTCACACAGGACAACGGTATCATTCTAATAAAAAACAACTGGAGTCAGACTGAGAAGGTACTCTTTACTGTAGCTGTCAGATGAAATGGCAGCAGTTTGCCTTCAGAGCCACCCTGCTACAAAACCAGAAGTGAAGATGGCATAGACAGGGAAATGCAGAAGTGGTCCAGCCTGCTCCACTTTACAGTGCCATAGGCTTTGCTGTATTTGCATGACTGGTATTTGAGGCTTGGCCATCTTCTAGTGTGGGCTGGTCTCAGAAGAGTATTTAGCAGCATCTCTGTCTTCTACCCAATAATGCCAATAACACCATCTTACTGAGACAAGCAAAAATGTCTCCAGATGCTGCCAAATCACCCTTGGTTGACAGTTATGGCAGTAAATCACTCAACTTCTGCTGGAGCCATGTACACATACATAAGGAACAAGAATTTGAATAAATCAAAATATATCACTGAATAAGAACAAAACTTTTAAAAATGAAGCTATGAATAGGAAGGCATTTTTCTGAGAACATATTCCAGAAAAACTAGTGAGAAAACGTAAGTGAAACAGTATGGAAATAAAATAGACTGTGAAATAAAACTTTTCACATTAAAAGATTTCTTTTTGGTGTCAATAAGCCAAATAAATAGCAAATTCTTTTAAAGAACTCACTAGTTACTTCTAAGAAGTAACATTTTCTGGAAACTCTAATCCTGAAGCTTTTACTATTCAAGCAGTAACTTAACTGGTGGTGCCCTTTCCAATGCCATTCTTACTGTTTTACCATTCTGTGTTCACTAAAGAGTTTTCTGAGCAACATTATCGGTCCCACTCTCATTTAAAACTAACTCTTCCCTCATGGTATTTTACTTATACTCTGACAAACTACAATAGCACTACGGTGTTTGTGTTACAGAAACCGTAATCAGGTTATCTCCAATATTAAAAAAAAACCCTAATCTATGTGTCAGAACTCAAGGTGTAAAAGGAATATGAAAAAATTCCCCTCTTAATTAAGAAGATCTAGTTCATTTTAAAATGACAAAAAAAATCTCTTTGGAGATATAATGAGATTCACTACAGAAAGTAAATTCCTTTTGAAAAGTGACTAAGAAAAAATATGAGAAAACTAGCTTCTGGTACTATGGTATCTTCCTTTATAACTTGCACAGTGATAGTACACAGTGTGGTGTCTTGATGCATAGACAGTGTGGGAAATATGATATCAGACTAGGATAACCAGTCTATCTATCACTCTTACTACTTATTTGACAAGTTTATTCAAGACACCCTACCCTGGCTATGACAAGATACACAATAAATTATTATTAACTATATTTACCTTACTGTGCTAGGTACTATAATGTCACAAGGCACACACACACACACGAACTAAATTCAGTTTCAACTGGCTGAAGTCTAAGAACAAAAATGTTTTGAAAATTAGCACTGTTTAGCTTTTTCCTTGCTGTTTTTTAACTAAAACCTCAATTATCAGCATGAATCTGATAACCAGGAGGATTATAGAATTTTTGACTACACAGTTGCTACTAAACGTGAACTACACAAAAACAACCATCAACTCTTTGAAATTTAATACAAGTGAAATGGACAGCCTCCTGAGTGTGACTGGGGGAGTTGGGGCAGGAGAGAGAAGCCTGGGGACATGGATGGACATACAAGACAGCATTACAGTACCTGATAGCCTGTGAGAGCAAGAAGAATAAGAGAGACCAGGGAAGAGAGCGCTCACGGTATGGAGGAGGAGCGGGACGCTTTTAGTGGCAGGCAAAGGCTCAGAGAGGTGGACACAGTTGCTGATAGACTGGCTTCGCTTAGCTTCCAGGAGAGATAAAGTAACATTACATCAGAGCACAGCGAGACCCTTTGACCACTTCTAAGTTCTTATGGTGCTGCAATTCCTTTAGACATTTAAAGGAAGCCATCCTTAGCTTCAAAAGAAGTCAGAAAACCAGAGTACTTAATCACAGTCTCTAAATACAGCCAACTTTCAGCCAAGCACTGATGACTTGGAATGGTCACTCACACAAAGAAATTGTTTCATTTGGGAATGCTTCATGCATTATCCTTCCTTTTGCTGCTGTATATCAGAGTGTATCTTAATGATGTCTGGGTTGCTTGCTCAAGCACAACCCATTATTACATTATTAGTTCATTATTATCTCTTCCTACAGGATATACATACAAAGACCACAGTGAGAAAAAGAAAATCTGGTCTAAGACAAAAAATTTTCCTTTAAGTAATAAATAATTCAGAAACTGAATTACTGAGAGCTGGCTGTATTTAAAAACTATTCCACTGAGTGAACTAAATGCCGAAGAAGTTTGTGAATATATGAATCAGATATTTTATTAGATAACTATGAGAATTATCTTTTTATGTCATATTTCACATTTAGTAGAGCCAAAATTTCTCAATATCAGTTTTTGAATTCCTCATATACTGTTGGTTAAATTAAACATTTAATAAAACAAACACGGAAAGAGAACATACTTCAGATTAATAAAATCAGTGTTATCCTTAAAATCAAAATGCAAAGGATTATTTGCCATGCTATTATTGTATATACCTCTGCTAGTTATACGTGCAACAAAACTATACACAATGGTGACACATTTGCAAAAACTGAAACAAACTTCTTACTTTATTGTCCCTTACCCTACCCTTTGTTATCAGCATTTCCAACAATGAGATTATTATATAGCTCATGTATGTAAGAGAACATGTAAAGGACAACAACCATGTAAATTTCAAAGAGTAAAAGATTTGGTTGTTTATCTCAGAATATGGCCAACATTCATTTGAGCACTGTTTAAAGAGCTTTCCTTTTATAAATCAGATGATATTACATTTTTCCAAAATGGATCACCATGTATTTTGAAGACAGTTAAATACTGGCTGTCTTATGTGTGATTTAAGACTCACTTTGATCACTCTCAGACTTTAGAAATCTGAATTTCCACCATCATTGACACTCAGGGCCAGAGTTATCTTTCTATGCCAGGCCACTTCAGTTACACTCTGAAATCTCTGGTGTCACCATCAGTGACAGCTACTTTCCCTAACTGAAATCTGTGGGGTGAATCATTATATGAGTATCTTAAACTGCTCTTAATGAGATTAAAGAAACAAAGCTACTTTTGAGTGGCTATCCATAATAATTACTGCAATTGCTACTAACTCCTCGGAAGAACAGTGAAAACTGTTTCAGTGAACTTCTGCACTCACAGAAACTCCTACTACACACTCAAACTAAAGGGAAAACACTCTGGCTTTGTTAAAAAGTAGGAAAATAAAGTAAAATTACCCATCTATATTATTAAACGGTCTTATTAAACAGCAAGGTATACAAAAGTATTCAATGACCATTAATAGATAACAATTGATTCATAACATCTAGCATTTTAAAAGATATAAAATACAATAAGAAATACATATACATGCATGCATACAAGTGTATATATAAAGCAAAAAGAAATAATAGACTTGTGTAATTGACGGTCTTCACTACCTTTCAAGAACAAAACAGTTAATTCTATAAAAGTCAACCTTACAGTTTTAAAAGTATATACCCCACAAATATCTTTACAAAGACTTTGAAAAAGGTTTGTCCAATGTCACATGGCCCTTCAAATACTTGAGAGCATTTTTAAACATAGCCTGTCTTTCCTGAGTGTTTTCTAAAGCATGCTGGTGCTCCTACTATACAGCTGGTTTAAAACACCTGGTGGAAAATAAGATTTGCTGTGTCATATGGAACAGGCATGTATTTGCTACTGATTAACGTGCATGAATAAAATGCATTGTTTTGGATTAATGCTTATACTTTGAATTCAAGGGTGGTGAAGGCAGCATAAGTCTGCATAGTTTGGGAAGGACAATGCCTTTGCTACATGCTTGTGATCTCTTCTACTGAAAGGGGAAGGCAGTAGGGAAGACCATAGGAGTTGAGCTGAGACAGGAAATCAGTGGGCATCCTCAGTGGTGAATGTTTTTTGAAACTGGGTTTCTTTTGGGGAGACAGAAATGAAAGAAAAAAAACAAATAGAATAGGTGTGCAGACAATTAAAAAGAGAATTACCAGTAAATGCTAAGGCATAAAGAGTGAGGAAATTATAGGTAGGGAACAATATCTTTAGATGAAACCATCAATAGAATGCTAAGCCATCTATGTTAAGTTTTTTAACAAACATGAACAAAAATGTTAAACTTAACAAATATTTATTTTATGGCCTGAGGATCTTATTTATGATTTTCTGAAGCTGTGGCCTATCAACTCTAATTGCATGATACTGCTGATAAGAGAAACTGAGATAAGGCTGGTTTAAGTCTAAACCAGAGCCCAAAGAGGGGTGGGAACCTTACTGTCTTCATTCTGAAGATAAGGTCCCTTTTTAAAGATTTGTCTCTTGCCATAGTAAAGTGTAACAAAGCTATCTGGTCATCTATGGGTTTTCAATCAAGCAACAGTGCTAATTTAAATAGGCTGTAAAAGAAGCATCTATAGGTATAAGAAGCTCAATGTTCTTAAAGAAGTAAAAAATGAGAACGTTTCCATTCATTCCTAAAACCAAGTGTCACCTCCTTTTCTTTGCTAGAATCAGTTATCACAAAACTCTAAAAGGAGCACTGTCTAGCAATGACATCACTGAGGCTAAAAGTGCCTGGATGGTGTTCCTTTTCACAGTAGAGACTTTAGAAATAATAAAACCTGTGACTTGAGAATTAACCAGAACAGAAAGTTTAAAAGATATTGACAGATTTCACTTAATAAATGGTCTAATATATAAATTCTGAGTGGAACTTTAAAATATTCCTTTATTCCTATAAATTCATTTAAATAGCAATTACATTTGTTAGGTGATATGTAAACAAATATTTACCAGTTGCTTTTTGGCGAACAGTATTTCTTGCCTTCTCAACTCCAGGTGCTCCAGATGTGGTAGCACTTCTGAATCTCATTGGCTCAGTCACGTCTGGATGGCTACGCCAGCTCAGAGAAAAGGATCTACCCACAGAGGTCCCTTTTTGGGGATCTAGAACACAACCTGACAAAGGGTAAGATGAAAAAAAAAACAATCTAAAAGCTGAATTTGTTATTCATAAAAAAAACAATCTAAAAGCTGAATTTGTTACTCATAAAAAAAAACAATCTACAAGCTGAATTTGTTACTCATTTTACTGCCGAGGCTGTTCAGTAAATGGCAAATATACAATTGCATATTGACAGGAGTCGAGAAACAGCCTATGTATAACATTGCACCAGCAGATTCACCACTTCCTTATGTTGCAATTTAGGAAGATATGTCTATGACCTCAAAATACTTGTTACTAAAGTATTTTTTAATTTCCAGCAGTTCAATGAAAATTGTATTGTCATAGTATTTACTTCAACATACAAGGTACATATTAACCAATCTTTCCCAGTGCAAGAACAATGTCCAAAGGTATTTTAAAAGTCATTACTAATAGGCCAAAAGTTTTAAAGTACTGATGTTAAACTGGTACTGGCTTCTGAAGACTCCAACCCAATCATAAACCCCACAGAAACCCATGAACTGTAATGCAGACTTGGTCAACTGTGTAAGTTGATGAAAATCTACAAATAATTTAAAATCTTATGAAACAATGTAGTCTGAGATTTGACTTCTGTTTTCTCATAGTGTTCTGATCAATTATTTCAAAGAAAGGTCAAAGACCCAAAAGAAATACAGGAGAAAAAAGAGTAAGACATTTAGGAGTTTTTTTGTTTGTTTGTTTGTTTGTTTGTTTTGGCTCAGGAATAATGTAGCCAGTGGACACAACTTGTGACCTGTTTTCGCATCAAGTTTCCTTGGTGTTTATTTTTTGTTTTCAATATTTAGTGCTTAGGCTTATATCTAATAAGTATTTAAATCACTTTTTATAATAAGGCAGCATAAATTAAGATGTTTGTTATGGTCATTATTTAAAGAATTTGTTGTATCTCTCTGGAAACAGCACTTTTGAAGTTGTTTACTTTCCAATGCTAATTTATCTCTTCATAAAACTGTGTCTATATAACAGGTAGGAAGAATGACCTTTAAGATACAATGTATATATATATGCACACATGTGTGGGTGCATGTGTGTATGTGAGAGAGAGTAAACACCTTCAGGAGGCAAGAAACACACTTATTTTGAAAAAGCAAGTCACATCTTCTATCTCAGCTCTTTCCTTCTTGGCACCATAAAACCCTCCTCTAGACTGAGAAACACTGTTTAGGTAGCCAGCCTCTTGCAGAAATATCTTGATATTCCCAGGCCCTGGGTCACACAGAAATCTCAGGCATGCAAGAGAGAACCAGAAGAGTTCTAGACTAGTGTGTATTTTTAAAAAGATTCTTGATCAGCTTCAACTGTGGAGAAAAAAATGACCTGTTGTTAAAGCTATGTTAGAAAGTTACTGCACTGCATAATCTAAATCTAAACTAAGATTATGTCATTCTACTGGAATGCTATGAACATAAGCATTTTGCATTGGCTTCTAGCTGCTTGTTTTTACTAACTGGGGCTTTGGCAAACCATTCTCAGGTTGCAATAAATACATCATAAGCCAACTCGTAGCCCATGTACATAGTTAACTCATCACTAGAATTGGCTTACATCTCCCTGTACCCACATGCTTTGTTCTCACTGACTCTGGACTTCACCATACTTCGGTGGTAAAACTAAAGAAGTGAGACCAAAAAAATTTACTTCTGCAACATTATATTAACAACCATGTGCCAACCTGATGGATAATGAAACATGTAGTCCAGTCACAATCACTGCCCTGGCTGACAGCCAGTCAGATCCTAGAAGCAGAGCAGTCTAAGTGGTCACAGCACAGAGAGAATCAAATGAAAATGAGAATTAGCAGTGACCAGAGTGTGCAACCCCAGTTATCAGCTCATAAAATCATGGTCTAAATAAACAGTTACTATGTTAAGCTATTAAGTTTTGGAGTGATTTGTCACATAGCAAAAACCAATTGATACAGTCTATAGATTATTATTACTAAAACATAATCTGCTGTAACTTGACAAAGCTTTGAAGGAAAGATGCCATCTAGGTCTTGGAACCAAGGGGAGTTACTTAACACCCAAGGAAACATACTGTTTTTACCTTCTGTATACTATGATTGTTTGATAAACCCTGAGAACGTCAAGGTCAAATCCAAAGTCATCTCTACCTATTTCCCCAGCAAGAGAATGAGGCTCCATAGCATTCATTTTGGCATTTAATCATACATGCAGCCTCTTCCCACTATGTCCTATTTCTTTTTCCATTTAATAAGTACCATATGCATTTGAATGAGACAGCTCAAGTCTTTACAGTATGGCTGGAATAGACAAGTTAACTCAAGTACCACAGTCGTTAGGAACTGTAGTAAAGACAAGGAGATACCAAATGTCATCTCCAACAGAAACTCCCATTGTTTTACAACTCAAAATTATTACTTTTACTTCCTTAGGTCTGAAAACAGCTTTACCTAGAAGCACAATAAAGCCAAAATGGCTCCCATCTCAGGCACTTGGAATTCCTCCACAATTTCTGGGGAGGCAGCAGCATGAATCTTAGCAGTGCAGCATCTTGGGCGGGACTTGACAGGCTTTGATGCCAATCACTATAAAGTTTCTGAATTTTGGGTTTTCTGTATGTGACACAGATCTGTGTAATAAAAGCTATCATAAGGATGGAGTCCATGTGCAGAGCATGGTCATTGTTACTCCTGTTATCAGTACTTCTCTCTCATTTTTCTTCTTCCACATTCTCTTTACATAGTCACCAGTTTCATTACGGGAACAAAGTAACAGGAGACATAATCTAAGGGCCAGCATTGAAAAACACTGTGCAGCTTCAGCTCATTAGGAAACACAATGCATTAACGTAGGTGAACAAAAATCACTCATCTCACCCCACGCCACTGCTGCTGCCCCAGAAGAGTAAAAATACCTTTGCCACGTTGCTTCTTCTCCTTTTGTTCACTTAATTTATCTAGAGGTAGGTTTGTCATCTCAACTCCATACACAGTTCTTGCCAGCACAGCTGTCAAGGAGTCCATGATGTTGGACCACTCAGTGATGAGTTCCTCCCATTCTGTAAGGGATGACAGCACACCTAGAAAGTCATCCCAAAGCTCCCGAGAAATGTACACACAGAGGTTTGCTCGGATCCAAGCCACGATGAGTGTCTAAAACCAACAAAATGCATGATTTTTAACAACAAAATTAACATTGTTTTTATCATTGTCCTTACTTTTGACCAATTGTAACCAGGATTTCAATTATGGCAAGATGAGTTAGCTGAGGAAATACTATTCTACAGTGCATGGCTAGTGCTGCTGATATTGGTAAGAATATAAAACCCTCTGTCCAGTGACTACTCAGCTTCTGAAGGTGGCTCTTTCACCAGAGAGAGAGAGAGAGGCTACAGCAAACATCTTCCTCTATGTGTGATCTTCTAAACCCAAGTGCTACATGACTTTGAGCAGCTGGGCTTGTTGCAGAATTCAAAGACAACTCATTAGATGTTAACCTCAGCCCATGAGACCTGGTAAACGTTCACCTGCATTTACCCAGCTTCACCTCCAACTGCACTTCTTCCAAGAGGCATTCCTACTCCTACTCTGGGTTCCTTCTCAAAACCTTATGCTTCTATTAAACCAAACTACCCTTAGCTATAAGTAAGTCTTCCTCATGTCAAAAAACAACACACTCACCGGGAGTTGGTGGCACACCCTTTAATCCCAGCACTCAGGAGACAGAGGCAGGAGGATCTCTGTGAGTTTGAGGCCAGCCTGATCTACAAAGCTACACAGAGAAACCTTGTTTCAAACTTGAAGCGGATTTCCTCTCTGGGTTATAACATTTTCCCCACCTCTGTCAAAGTCAAACTTTTCTACTTCCTCTTCTCCCAGTCAATTGACTCTGGATTTTTCCTTCTGACAGCTCTCCACTTCCTGCCTGGGGTTATCCACTTCTATGGCTCTATTACCCTCTTACTGCTGTGTATTCTTTTGTCTTCATGTTCAGCACAGATCTCTTTGCTGGCTTCCTGATTATCCACCTGCTTTACAGAGAACAGCGCAAAGGCACTTGCAGCCCATCACCATGAAAAGAAGTCAATTACTGATAACTCATTTTTGATCTAATATTGGGTAAATTTTATTGTTAGATCAATATTTTCTATTATATGAAGATTATTTACTGCTTTCTGGTAATGGCCTTGAACTTTTGAAAATATGAATTTAAAATATATAGACAGAAACTGGCATTTTAGTTTTAATAAAAATAATAAAATAATAGTGATAATAAAAGTGACTCAATATTAAATCAATAGATATAATCTTAGTGGAGTAGAGAGAGGGTAGAGACTGCAGAAGTCACTAGGAATCACCTCCCATTCTGCTGCAGTGCTGGTAGCAGGAACAAAATCAGATGGATGTCATAGTGCAGTAAGATGTCAAGACTGGAAATCACTCTACTAAGTATAGGAAATAGAAGTATGATGTGGTAGCACTCTCCTTTAATTTCAATAAAGGCAGGCAGATTTTTGTAAATGTAAGGCCAGCTTGGTCTACATAGTGAGTTCTAGGCCAGGTGAGACCTCTCAAATGAGAGGTGATGTTGAGGGATGATGGAAGGAAGGGAGGAAGGGAGACAGGGAGGGAAAGGAGGGAGGGAGGGAAGCAGAATCTGACTTCTTGAAGTTTAGAAAATGTATATAAACCTGTAAATCATCAACAAAATTCATAATGGCACTTGGACATGGTGCAAAATCCTCAAAGCTAGCTGAGGGGGGAATGGGATGGAGGAACCTTTGGACATAACAGCACGACAGCCTTTCAATCAATTACCATTTTTCAAAAGGAAGAGGGAAAGTGATAGTCCCAGCACTAGGTTGTGACACTAACTTGGTTTGGGTCCTGGAGAAAGTCAACTGGCCTTTCCGGAGTTACACTTCTCATCAAAGTCAAGGGTTTCTCAGCACTGACACTCAGTGCTTAATTAGATACAGCTCAACACATGAACCTCAGGAACACACCTTGCCTCAGTATACAGCAACTGATAATCAACCACTTCCTCTCTTCTTCTACTCCCCACTCTAGGACACTAAATACTGCCAAGAACTGGATCCTATTATAGACCTAATAAGTCTATAAGTCTTCCTGATCACCTTCAGAACTTATAGCATATAGTCTAACTAGCATTGACAACAAGCTATAACATCACCGGAGGAATCATCATTATTTGGAAAAAAAAATAAGTGGGATAAGTTCAACTATCATTAAAAGTTTTGTTAACCTACATTATCTATAAAACAGGAAAAATAAACACTACAGGGAGAGTTAGAAAAAGAAAAAAGAATAATAACAACTGAAAATTTCCTTACCTTCTACTAGTTCTTTATTATAAAAAATAAAAACACAAATATCTGGCCATTTTCATCTATATGACAAATGAATTAGCATTCAGTGAGGGGACAGCCTGACAGTCAGTTCAAACGACAACCATTTCCCTCCTCATGTCTCACCCATGAACAGGAGAAGTTAAGAAATGATCACAAATTGGCCGCACTTCCCATGTTGTTCCCTCTTGACTGCAGAGCAGGGAGAGATACAGAAGTTGAGGTGGTACTCAAGGCCACCATGCCAGCAGTTCCAAAGCCAGAGGTACAACCAGGCTCTGTCGAACCCCATGGAGCTCAACCTTCCTCCACAATTCCATGGTCAATTCTAAATCTAAGCATCCTTTTTTCTGTACTCATTTCCAAAACGCATCAAAAATCATAAGCAATCAAGGGCCCAAAAATGGTGCAAGAAAGATATGACAAGAACATTCCATTAAGGGAATTCTCTCCTGCCCCACCCCCATCCCAACCCAAACAAACAACTCTAGAACAGATCACTCTTAATCCTGCAACAAATTCACTTTCTAATTCCAATACACATAGCATATACAAGGGCAGACAACTGGTAACAATCAGGCTTGACACTGGCTTTAACTCATGCCCACTTGACAGTCAAGTCCCAGCTCAGGTGCTGATAGTAAGATGCTGTGCAGAGAGCACAGTGCAGAGGGTCTGTATCCATGCAGGCAGCATAGCAGTAACATCAACAAACTATTGGATTATTACAAACCAAAATAAAACCCATGTAGTCAGAGTATGACACAAGCATGTAATTCTAGCACTTGGAAAGCTAAAGAAATAGAATTGAGAGTCTGGGCCAACCTAAGCTCATAGTGAGGTCTGGACTTAAAAAAAAAGGAAAAAAGAAACACAAGTAAAAATGAATGTGTGTGTTCATCCCATATACCTATGAGATAGGCAAGGCAGTCAATGGGAACAGGAGAGCACTGACGAGGCAAGTGAATACGCGCCAATTCCTTTCTGCAGCCTCTACACACACTACTTCTACTTTACATATGCTCTTGATATACATCATCCAAAAACCATGAACTGGAGAAGGGAATGTTTCCTTCCTCAACCATCAGTTCAGCTCACTGTGCTCACACCTATCAAATTAGTCAAGGTCAGGTCTAATGCAGAATATCATATATCCACCATTTTTCACACTGTTCTCTTTTAGAAATGTTCATAAATTCTACGAACCCTATAAAAAGCAGTGTAGGGCTGGAGGAATAGCTCAGCTGTTAAGGGCTAGGCTCACAACCAAAAAGCAGTGTAGCCTGAGGCTATCCCTGGGAGTCCATCAGCTGTCAGCCTATCCATGCTCTTGACCTTGCTCCCACTGGGGCAGGAAGTACTGGTACCTCTTTGGCTCTCAGCTCATACTAAGAGTCATTCAGCCCTGCCAGATCCTGAGATTCCCTTCCCTCTGAAGCAATACATCCTGACCTCTTTCTCTAGAACATCACATGGGCAAGCCAAAACCTAAGTAACACCTGCTATAAACCCCACCCTCTACACACAGTGCCCCCTCCAAGTAGTTCCCTTTTCCCCTTCCTTCCATATCAAGAGCTCTTGGAAGCCTTGTTCACAGCTGTTACTTCTACTTCCTGATTCATCTACTCCAAGTAGATTTCAATTCTTCGGTCACCTGCTCCTGTTCACTTCACTTGGCATCTAGAACAATCTATTCTAGCTTCCCCCTCAGCAAACTAGGCCTCCTTCCTCAGCATTTCTGGCCATCTCTCTCTTTATCAACCATGGAGATGCCTTCATCTCCCTATACATATGTTCTCTCACAGTCACTCCATTTAGTCTGAGGCTTTACATACAATTGCTTGATACAATGCTGTTCTCAAGTTTTCAACTCATTTCCATATTTCTATTTACCCTGTAACTATCAAATCTATCTAGCTTTCTCCCCCAGTAAGATGCTCAACTCCTATCACTTCTTAATGCCTATCACTCTCAAGCAAACCAAGTGGAAGGAGATGGCAGAGGGAAGCCCAAAAACCCAAAGTTAACTGTGAAAAACAGACTACAGCATTTAGAACAAAGCTAAGAAGGAAACTTTCTAAAAATGTAAAGTTAATTTGACATAACATGTAAAAATCTCAGTAATTAAAGCTAATTTGCCAAGTCTGCTTCAATTTTGCATTTGCAATGTTTAATAAAAAAGACTTACCCTGAAGAGCAACCCTGCCAAGCTCTGGGCAAACAAGTCCTTTACATGCTTATCCTTTGGCTTCTGCATGACAGCTTCTGTTATCCTGAGAAGGATTTGCAACAGCTGCTCCCTGGGCCACCCAAAATAAAAGCTCATATTAGTAATCACATCTCCAAAGTACTTTATAGGTATGAGATCTTCGCACTCATCCAACACTGATAAGCACATATCATCTGAAAGTACTAAAAGTCTAGGTGCCAGCTAGAGAATAAGATCATATTTCATCCATATAAACTATTTTATGTTACCACAGTTCTACAAACATGCTTTCCATATCCATGCCAACTGGCAGGATGACATTTTCCAGGCATCTTCTCAGCCTGACTTTTCCCTTTATAGGAAGGAGGGTAAGATGGTTTTCTACAGTTGAATCAGCATACCAGGGCACTCACCAAGAGAATACCTGTGCCAGTCAGAACTTACACTGTACTGACATTCTCCATCATTTTGTTACTTAACCTGTAAAGTATCCCCATCTGCCTTTGTGATAGAAAACAAAACTGACTCTGGTCTTTACTATGAGGACACAGGCAGTCGATAGCACTGCATGACTGTGGTTCCTGAGGGAAGACAGGAGGGGTTTGGAAAGCTCAGGACTGAACACAGACGGGCAGTACATTTGTGCCTGGCAGATCCTGCCTATACCACAGTGCACACCTGGGATGGCTACAGTCACCATAGCTCAGTCACCATGTGCTACTGTTTTCAGTCTTACAGAAGGGAACTTTACATAATAGGCTTAAAGAATCAACATAGTACTACCAATAATGACAATTGGTGTTTAAAACAGCAGAAGATCATTTTTCCTTTCTTATATACCCAATTTGTGTTTCTCATATCCATGGACTCTTTGGGGATGGACAGCATATATTATTTTCCATATAGAGAGGAAGTCCAATCATTCTCTAAGGGAATTGCTCTGGTTCCTATAAGGTTTTGATCCCTAACCATTTATTTACTTACACTACTTTCTTTTTGCTCATCCTAATCTCTAGTAAAAAAAACTAAGAATACAACAAAGCAATCTGGTCCAGATCAAACAGATCTGTAGGCTGTGGTCTCTTTTCTTCTGTGTCTGTGCACTGGACAGATGAGACAGAATCTCAGTAACCTCCTTGTAGTATTATGACCTCTGGGAATTTGCTGTCTGCTCTCTTGGTATCTGGCTCCATTGGGCTTTTAGTCCCAGGTTTATTTAATTATTATTAACACCCATTCTTCCAGCACTCTATTCCACCTGTTTACATGTTTTGCATTATCTCTGGATTCTGGATTCTGGAGGAAGAAGACAAATGCACCACCTAGATCTAGACAATGTGCAGAGTGCAGGACAGCGAGTATGAAGGGAAGAGGAAAAAGAAACAAGAGAGCTGGAGAGGCCCTGCAACTCACAGTCAGGATACCTGTCACAGTGGTACATTCTAGTTAGTGCACTACTGTGTGTTCACAATAGACTCTCGGGAAACAGAGAGGTAAGGAGGGAAAGAGGAGTAGAGAAAGGAGGAGGGCAAACTGGGGAGAGGAAAGAATAAAAAGAAAGCATCGGGCATTTGGAACTTAAATATACACAAAGTCTGTCTGGGAAGCAAACAATGACCTTTCTATTCTCTACCATGTTTAGTTACTACTTTAATTTACTTCTACAATTATCTTCTTATACATTTATCTGGAAATCTCTAAATTTCTAAAGGAAAAAAAAAGTTGCTTTATTTTACTTCCTAAAATTTTCATCAGAATAAAATAATTATAAAAACTATAAGACTGTACAATGTATACAGAATCCATCACTTTCTAAGAAAAGAAACAGAAGAATACTATTCACACATCTGTGGTACAAGAAGTACCGCCCAGTTGAAAGCATTTCTCACTGGGTCCTTCTGACTGCCATGATACTGGACTGAGTTTACATCACATTCAGCATTGCTGTAATGTTTCCAAATTTAACAGTTATTTAACTTGGCAAGAATACTAATTTAAAGTTCAGGAAAAGTGACCCTGTAATTTATACTTTCAAATCCTTATTTTGATATTTCTGTGTAATGAGTGTTCTTCCTGCCAGCCTGGTCCCAGAGCTGCAACAACCCCAAATAATACACAGAGACTCTATTAGTTACAATGCTGTTGGCCAATGTCCAGGGCTTCTCATTGGCTAGTTCTATCTTAAGTATTAACCCATAATTACTAATATATATATCTAAGGTCTTATCTTACCAAGAATGCCAGACTTGCGTTCTCTCCTCACAGGATCACATGGTGACTCTCCCCTCTTGACTATATTTCCCAGAATCCTCCTTGACTCCTAGTCCCACCTATCTTGCTTCCCTATTGGCCAACAGTGCTTTATTTACCAACCAATAAGACAAACATATATACAGAAGGACTTCCCCCATCATTTGTGAACTTGCTATAAGACAGAATTCCTGTGGGCCCACCCTTTCCTCCTGTTGGTGACCTGTGGCCTCTGATAGTTCCCCTTGCCTCATTTTTAGGGTTTCCCACCTACTGTGGACAGACACCTTGTACAACACCAATAGTGCTGACTCTAGGGCATCTATTAAACAGGTATGGTCCTAGAAAAATTCCCAGTGTGGAAAGGATTCCACTGCCACAGGACCTCAGTAGCCCCAAAGTCCGAGAATCTGAGATATAAGGGCACCTGTAGTGGTTTTACAGGTGTCTAGGTGATATGAACACATCCAGGCAGACATGAGAAGCATTTCTAAGACAGGATACATGTGAAAACAATGGAAGGGGGAAAGCATGGCTCAGAGCTTGCTGGCCTATCACTAAGAACAGTGAGGGTGATGTAGTGATATCCAATATGGGAGACAGACATGGAAAAAAACTAACACATTTTACCTTTAAGAACACAATTAACAGAAAAAGAAAAAAAGGGAAGAAAAAATCATTGAAGACACACTTTTTGTACTTTTCTGTCACTATGATAATATAGTCGTTAAAAGAATTTTTTCCAAAATGAAATTAAAATACCAAGTTGAAGGCATAAAACTCAAGTTAATAGCACTTCAGGACAACAAACAAACTTCAGCTATAAAGAATCAAACTATAAAGCACACACCACTTATCATAAAACTGTGTAACAGTTTAAAATGAGAAAACTCACTATTGACCTTAATACTAACTCCTATCCAAGAGCATTTTAAAAAACAATAATGGAAATAAATGAATTAGCAAGTGCTGGGTAGTTTCCTTTGCCACAATTCATAGAAGCTGCCAAGGGGCTGCTGCTTACCTTATTGTCAATTTTGTACAGATATTAGAAAAATGGAAACCTTAACACTTTAATTATACTGAAAAGATAGCTGTTTGGGGATGTTGTTCTGAAGTAAACTTACCATGTCTTTTGATTCATTGTAAGTTCCATTATCATGCGCCGAAAAATAATCAGAACAGCTTTACAGGCATCTACCTGTTCTCTCAGGAGCATGGGAACTTCAGCACATGGTTCCAGCAAAAAGACATTCGCAGCATTTGTAAGAAAGACCTTAAAGCCAACAATTTTATATTAGAAAATATAATTAATCATATATATCTGAGTAAATCTCACCTACAGATAATATTATCTCCCTTTGACCAATGAATCCCTATGGGTTATTTCCACAGACTCTTTCAATACAGCAACTGGCACCAATACATGTTCCAGGTATTGTAGCTCACTCCTTTGAATTGCCTAGGTAGACACCTACAAGGCCTTTCCCTACTATTCCATATAAACACTGTTGCTTTACTCATGAGTCATAAAATATTGGAGCTTGTTTTATCTTTCAACAGTAACAAAACAACAGCAACAATTTTAAAAAAAGAAAGAAAAAGTCAGGACCACAGTGTCAGAATGAGAAAGTCTGGGATGGACAAAGGTCAAGAAGTGGCCTGTGGCTAGACAACAGAGCTATAATTGTTTTTCCAAAGTGAATTTTAAGACATCAAGTTGGAGAAACAAGAATCAATTTATAGTACACCCATGTGGCACTGACAGAAGTACCCAGCACAGTACATGAAACCTACTTCTAAGGGAATATTCCAAGTATCCCCAAGAGGGATAAGGATTAAATGATGAGCAGTAGTGTGCCTGGAAACAGACAAGCCACATAGTTGATGTTGCATCTTCTAGGATTAGGACTTCTTAGTCTTGTTATTTTTTTTTTTCATGTGTGTGTGGTGTGTGTCTGTATGTTTGTGTTCCTGTGGGAGTGGGGGGGGCTGAACACATAGGCATGTGATATGGGGACCTGAAAATGACATCAGGTGTCTTCTTTACTCCCTCTCCATCTTCTATATTGAAGCAGGGTCTATTCCTGAACTCAGAGCTCAGTTTTCGCTTCTCTGGCTAGTTAACTTGTTCCAGGGATTTCCTGTCTCTGCCTTCCTGGCACTAGGATATAGGTGGGCGGCCAAGCCCACCTGACTTCTAGAAACTTCAGTCCTCACATAGTGTAGCAAATGTTTTACCAGCTGACATTTCTCTCCAGTCACAGGGCTTTTTTAAATAGGAGAAATCTATTATGCATCAAGACACAATAGTCTCGGTGAATTCTTAAGATAAAAGAATATTACAAAAGAACAATGAGAGAGTCAGCTGACTACTTTATGCTCTGCTCCAGATCTTTGAGATCCAAGTCCTTTGTTCTGTATTAGCAGGCTAACTCTGGTTCTCAGACAAAAAGTTACTGCTTACTACAGTGAGAGAACATGTCAACATCCACCTCAAAGGGGCAGGAAACATATTCAACAAAACCGTAGAGGAAAGCTTTCCCAACCTAAAGAAAGACATGCCAATGAAAGTATAAGAAGCCTACAGAACACCAGAGTGGACCACAAAAAAAGTTTCCTCACCACATAATAATCAAAACCCCAAACATACAGAATAAAGAAAGAATATTAAGAGCAGCAAAGGAAAAAGGACAAGTAACATATAAAGGCAAACCTATCAGAATCACACCTGACTTCTCCATGGAAGGTCTGAAAGTCAGAAGGGCCTGGATAGATATTTTACAAACACTAAGAGACCATAGATGCCAGCCCAGACTACTATACCCAGCAAAGCTTTGAATCACTATAAATGGAGAAAACAAGAAATTCCATGACAAAACCAGATTTAAACAATACATATCCACTAATCCTGTCCTACAGAAAGTATTGGAAGGAAAACTTCAACCTAAGGAAGGTAATTATGCTCACAAAAACACAGGCAATAGATAATCCAACTTTACCAAAAGTCAAAAGAAAAAGTGGGTTAAATTCACAAACAATAACACCACCACCAACAAATCAAAAACAAACAAGAATTAGCACTCAATGGTCCTTAATCTCCATCAATATTAATGGACTTAATTTGCCTTTAAGAAGACACAGGCTAACAGAATGGATATGAAGACAGAATCCATCCTTCTGCTGAATACAAGAAACACACCTCAACTTCAAAGACACACATTACCTCAGAGTAAAGGGTTGGGATAAGAGTTTCCAATCAAATGGGCCCAAGAAACAAGCTGGTGTAGCTATCCTAGTATCAAACAAATTATATGTCAAACTAAAATCAATAAAAAGAGATAAAGAAGGTCATTTCATATTCATCACAAGAAAAATCCATCAAGAAGAAATCTCAATTGTGAATATCTATGCCCCCAATACAAAGGCACCCACATTTGTAAAAGAAACATTACTAAAATTCAAATCACACATAAGACCTCAAACAGTTATAGTGGGAGACTTCAACACCCCACTCTCACCACTAGACAGGAACACCATACAGAAACTTAACAAAGAAACAAAGGAACTAACAGAAGTTATGACCCAATTGGGTTTAACAGACATCTATAGAATATTCCATCCTAACACAAAAGAATATACCTTCTTCTCAGTGCCACATGGGACCTTCTCTAAAATTGACCAAATACTTGGCAACATAGCAAACCTCAACAGGTACAAGAAAACTGGAATAAACCCCTGTATCTTGTCAGACCACCATACTTTAAAGTTAGAATTCAACAAAAACACAAACTGCAGAAACCCTACAAATTCATGGGAACTGAACAACACACAATTGCACCATTCCTGGGTCAAGGAAGAAATAAAGAAATTAAAGACTTCCTAGAATTCAATGAAAATGAAGACACAGCATACCCAAACTTATGGGACACTTTGAAAGCAGTACTAGGAGGAAAGTTCATAGCACTAAGTTCTCATATGAAGAAAATGGAGAATAGTCACACTAGAGAATTAACAGCACAACTGAAAGCTCTGGAACAAAAAGAAGCAACTCACCCAGGAGGAGTAGACGCCAGGAAATAATCAAATTGAGGGCTGAAATCAATAAAGTGGAAACAAAGAAAACAATACAAAGAATCAATGTAACAAAGAGTTGGTTCTTCGAGAAAATCAACAAGATAGACAAATCTTTATCCAAACTAACCAAAAGGCAGAGAGAGAGAGAACATGCAAATTAACAAAATCAGTAATGAAAAGGGGGACATAATAACGGACACTGAGAAAATCCAGAGAATCTTCAGATCACACTTTGAAAATCTGTACTCCACCAAATTTTAAAATTTAAAGGAAATGGACTATTTTCTGGATAGATATCACTTATAAAAATTAAGTCAAGAACAGATAAGCAATTAAACAGACCTATAACCCCGAATGAAATAGAAGCAGTCATCAAAAGTCTCCCAACCAAAAAAAGCCCAGGCCCAGATGACTTCAGTGCAGAATTCTACCCTACCAGAAATTCAAAGAAGAGCTACTTTCAATACTCCTCAAGGTGTTCCATACAATAGAAGCAGAAGCTTTGTTGCCAAACTCTTTTTACAAGGCTATAATTACCTTGGTACCCAAGCCACAAAAAGACACAACTAAGAAAGAGAACTACAGACCTGAACAAGGGGGAGCTCATGGACCCCAGACTGAAGGCTGAGAGGCCATCATGGGACTGATCCAGACCCCCTGATCGTGGGTGTCAGTGAGGAGACCTCAGCAGTCTTTGGGACCTTAGGTACTACATCAGTATTTACACCTGGTATCTGAATGGACTTGGAAGCCCATTCCATATGGAGGGATACTCTCTCAGCCTGGACACATGGTGGAGGGCCTAGACCCTGTCCTGGATGATCCCCCATGAAGGGCCTCACCCTCTCTGGGATTGAGTACGGGATTGGGGAGTTGCGGCAGGGGGAGGGAAAGAGAGCCGGTAGTGACATGTGAAGTAAGCTTGCTTCTAATTTTGATTAAAAATAAATAAATAAACAAATAAATGAAAAAAAAAGATGAAAAAGCTTTCATGTCCCAATTTTATAGGAAAAAAATCACGAATAATCAATGCCAAATAAAAATGTGACTCTGAATAAGGCTTTGAATAAGAGAAAACAAAGACTTTTCTGATTAACAAACTGAATCAGTTTTAGTGACAATGTTTTTTATATGACTAACCCACAAATAATATAATACAAAGCCTTTTAATTTCATGTGTTGCCTTCTTGAATTTAAAAATTCTACCCATTCCCAATAAAAAGTTTTCATATACTACACTTTTTCTTTTAATAATAGCTTCAAGAAGTCAACACATGAATACTTGTCACTGTATTGGCATCGGTAAGGTAGCACCAATCAAAGGATTTTGTTCAAACTGTACTCATGCCCAGCAGCAGCAGCAGCAGCAGCAGCAGAATGCTCTCATCAGACCTTCATCAAGTCCCTGTCTCCATGAGCAACCACTCAAGAGACAAGTTACTGAATATAAGAAGAACAAAACAACAATGTGAATCCTAAGAAACTTTTCAAGCTGTAGAGCTACAGGATGACTGCCGTCCATCCACACAGAAGGAGAGGGCTACAGGGACAAAGGGCAAGGAACCCTTCAAGTGTCTGTGCCAAGGTCACAGGCTATTACCGATGAGCTGCAGCAAAGTTCTCTGCAACTACATGAGTAAAATCATCTTTACTCTTTTTTTATCTTTACTCTTTTTTAAGATTTATTTTTATTTATGTTTCTCTTCCTTTCTGTGTGTGCCTGTGTGTCTGTGTCTGTGTGTGTCTATGCATACACAGGGAAGAAGTTCTTACAAACTAAAATCTAAGTAACTATTCAGATGTGCTTGGAAGACAGCTTCGGGTATAAACCATGTATATTTTACATTCACTGTAAAATAATCTTTCTCAAAAAACCTGAATCCAATTCTCACTTAGTTTTTGACTAGAAAAAAAATAATACTTTTCATTTGTGGGTGGGAAGAAAAATTAGAACTTAAGGTCTCTTTAGTGACCAATGCTCAATATAGCAGTGCACTTCACATAACATTATTCTAATTAAACAAAATGTTCAAAATGTCTTCTCCACCAGGGTTGTCTTTGGGTCCCCAATGGTAGCATACCTGCAACATAGCTTGGGCCCCAGCTTTCACATTTGTGTTGTCCTCCTCTGTCACACACCCTCTGCTCATGGCACTTGTGAAGGAATACGTGCGTCCCCAGCTGGATGACCGTTTATGACCAGAACTTTCAGATGAGGCCTTCAGAAAATAATAACCCATTAGCCAAGTAGGGGCAAGTCTGTGTTTACATACTTGGTTCCTTACACTCTGCTTAGCATCCAAGGTGGTCTCAGGCCTTAGTGTGTACTGATGCTGAGACAAAGAAATCAGGACCCTACACAAAATCTACTCGCTTATTGTTCATCTGTTACTAAAATGATTTCTCCAGTATTGAAACATCAAAACAACAGAACCAATTCGGACATTTAAAAATTTTAAGTCTTTGGCTAAGGATTCTAAATATTGTAAATTAATGTAATCAGGAAGATTAATATAATTTGCTTCTTCTGTGCTGTCATTTTAGGTTTATTCAAGCCTTAACTTTAAAGGGCAGTGCCTCCTGCAGGAAGACAGCTCTTCTGATATACCAGAAGTACTTGCTCTTTACTCGGATAATCTCTTCAAATATTTAATACAGATGTATTCTGAACAGTGAACTGCAAAAGACAAGTCTAGCAAAACATTCTCCATTTAATTTCCCAACAACTATTTATTTAAACAAGTCAAGGAGAGGATAACAGCTTTTCAGTCTCACAGAGAGAACTACAGAATGTGAGAAAACAGATGTCTTGCAACAGTGATTAAGAAAGTTGCCATATTCACGTGGCCCTAGGCTAAGGGTGAAGTGGATAAAACTGCCCACCAAAGATGGAGCATGAGCAATGTTTCTAAGGCAGGTCCTCACAAAACCTAACAGCCTGAGAATGCTATGCTCCTGTCTGTCTTCATGGGCATAGTGGGGCCCCTTGACTGAGCAGGTATACTTTGCCAAGAGGTATATACCCTCAACTCAGAGACTGAGCGATAATGTTACCTCCTTGGAGTTAGTCTCTGAAAGTCCTAATTTGTCAGCATCTTCTTTGGCAACATCCTGTTTATCTGGTTCCTCCATGAACACAGGTTTGTTCTGCAGGATCCACTTCCTGTATACTTGAACTACTTTTCTTGTTACAGATATCTCACAGGAAGGCAACAAAAATGCCTGAAAAGAAAAAAAAAAAACAGAACAAGAAACTCCTTAATGTCACACATGCTCAGATCGTCATATAGCCACCTTACAGTAATTTTCATTACCAACTTCAGAAACATTTAACTTGTACAGAGACCACACACATTATTCTAATACCATTCATCTGAAGGAAAATGACATCCTTATAATTGTAACAGAAAAATAATAAAGTTTCACAGATTCTTCTATATCTGGGTAGCTTTTTGAACAAAAATAACTAGACCATACATGTGCAGGTATTTTAATTGTCTATATAAAATAATTATAACTAAACTTGTAAGTTTCCTCAAAAAATCAGAAATGGTTTATAAAGTAAGAGATAGACTGTAGCAGGCATGGGAGCTGGCTGCAGTTCCTGCTCTAGGCTCTGCACTCAGAGCAATGCTGGAAACTTGAACTGGCCATGCTGTGGTTAGTTAACACCACAGAAGTTGGAGACGGCTACAAATATGGGCTCTTCTTGCTTGTTCTGCCTTTTTCTTCTCCTTCTCTTGCCTTTCTTTCATCCTACTTCTGTCCCTTCTTCTCGCCTTTATCCTCTACCTCCTTCCCAGGTTTCTACATTTATCACAACATCAAGTTCACCCACAAATGTTAACCAGTCTGGCCACTTAACACTGTGCACATTTGTAGGAACTTTAAATACTTTATGTGTGCATTTACAGACCAGAAGTCCATACTGGACGTTATTCCTCAACTGCTTTGCCATCTTACTTTATCAGATAGGATCTTTCACTGAATTTGAAACTTGGCAATTTGGCCAGACTGGCTGGCCAAGAAGTCACAGGGTCTTCCTATATCTGCTTCCTTAGTGCCAGGATTACAGATACATGGTAACCACATTTTATTAAAGAGGATCTGAGCATTTTACCAACTGAGCCATCTCTCAGTCAAGGAAATTTTTAATATTAAGGAAACTCCTTACATATTTGTGATTTACTGAAAGAAGATAGAAAAAAATGACTTTGAAGAGGAAATGCATTTGCCTTTTGCATCTCAGATTTAGGGCCTATTGCTATAATACAAGGTAGACAGGAAGGGCCATCACCCTATACTCAAATGACTGAATGACAAGGACAAGGACACAGACAAGGACAAATGAGCCACAGACGTTTTTTAAATACTACCCCTAAGTTTCACAACAAAGGACTCAATGACAGGCAGATGTTGCTTCAGCGGTGGTACATAAGATAAGATACAGGAATTCCCAGAGGAGTCAACCAGATCACATCAAATTCCAGAACACAGGAGTCTGTGTTATCAAAAGATTACAAATATTGAATAAATTAATATTCTGCCATGTGACACAATAAACACAAGAGATTATGACAAAGTGAATGTTGTTTCACTGTCTTCCTGAATTTTATTACAAAAAAACACACAGACCCCCTGAACGTGGGTGTTAGTGAGGGGGCCTCAGGCAATAAATCAGCATTTAGCTCTGTCATCCAGATGGACTTTGGGAGCCCATTCCATGTGGAGGGATGCTGTCTCAGCCTGGACACATAGGGGAGGGCTTAGGCCCTGCCCCAGATCATATGACAGACTTTCAAGAACCCCCATGAAGGTTCTCACCCTCCTTGAGAGTGGAGTAGGGTTTGGGGGAGGGTTGAAGGGGGGCAGGAGAGGAGGGGAGGGAAAGGGAGCTAGGATTGACATGTGAAGCAAACTTGTTTCTAATTTAAATTTAAAAATTTTTATAAAGGAGTGATCACACTGTACTTACAGGTAATAAGGGGAGAGATTCTGCACATTTTATTTGTACCAAATATAATAATAGAGTAGAAAAAAATTAATTTTTTCATAGTGAATAGCCATATCCCTATTCACCTGGTGTTTTCAGCAGTAACTATATTTGCTTTATATTTATCTGTCAACTCATCCCTCTATCCTTCCTTTGATTCATTCTATTTCTTTTGTACTTTATTAGTCCATCCGATCTATAAACACTTTAGCCTCCATGTCTCTGATTGAAGTCTGACATTTTTTTATTGTACAATATATAGAAAAACTTTACAAAGAAGGAAATACAGGGACCATTATATCAGTTCTCACAAAATGTAGACAAATTAGTAATCTGAAGCTGATATAAAAGCATAGCATATCATCCTCCTTACAGACAGCAAGAAGTAGTTCTTGTATAGGGGAAAATAAAGTTATAAAAATTAAAATGAAACAAACAAACAAAAACCAAAAATACCTCTACAAACAGCCAGGACAATAATCCCAGCACTCAGGAAGCAGAGGCAGGGAGATCTCTGTGAGTTCAAGGACAGCCTGGTTTACAGAGCAAGTTCCAGGACAAGCTCCAAAGCTACAGAGAAAACCTGTCTCAAGAAAAAGAAAAAGTAAAAGATCATTGACCATGGTTGATTTCCTGAAAACACACCTCAAAGAGTAAAAAAGCTATGGATACCATCAAAGTTAATAAAGATTCAATATGAACAGGAGTAACCTCTTGATAAGGAGAAATGATAGCTCACCCACTGATGTGACAATCCTACAAGTTATAAGGAAGCTCACCAAACAAGGGTCATGGCAGGGTTCTGTTTTTGTCTTTACAGGAAAATGGAAATACCCATCTTCAAGAAATCAAAAGACGTTAGAAATCTTTATGTCTAAGGAAGACAGGAAAGCTATTCAGACGAAAATTGATAAAAAAAAAATCAGACCTAATGGTACCGATATTCTCTACAGGGTAAAAATCTCAATACCTAAATATCTATATATGCTTGCTTCTCAGAAAAATTGTAAACCCAACTCTGTTGTAAATCAAAGCTGGCTTTAGAGTCAGAGCATAGCTCTCTCCTTCTCTAAATCCAAGCATGCTATCAAAAGAAAATATTAAGAGTTTCTGTCTCATATCAGAAGAGGCACCTGGTGTGGGACAGAAGAAAGCTAAAAATATACAGATTATTGTTATCAAAAATTCTTTTTCTCCCCATACGTATTCTTGATTCTTTGGAACCTTTCTTTACATATAATGCTACCCTAAAATTTAAACTTTATTTTCTGATATTACTAATGTTTAAGTTTTTCCACAGTGAACAACAGAATTTCCTAAAAGTGATCTCTGAAGTCTCCAGAGGAAGATGGGGCCCCACAACAATGAGTTTACCTGGCTTATAATGATGCCATTGAATCAATATACACCACTCAAAGATGATCTTGGACTATAAACTGCTCAAGATAATTCCAAGGTGACTAACTGAGATGGTCCACCATCTTACACCTCTAACCGGAACTTCAGATAAGCTTTGCCCATTACTAGACAGCAGGAAGCAATTCTAGAAAATGACACCCTCTCTCCCAACAGATTTTGTTTTCTCAGGGTTATGGATAGTTGTTATCTGTTAGGCATTTGTTATAAATTGTAATAGGATTGGGGGTGGAACAATGAAGTTTAGACTCAGGAGTCTCGTTTGGAAAAGACAAAAGGGGGATAGATAATGACAGGATAATAAGGCAGATTATTGTACCTACTTATAAACTAATTCAGCAGCTATCAGCTTTAGATAATTTGCATTGGTATGGATTTTTGTATACTGATGCAAATGTAAAATTCTTTTTCTATTCCTGTCTAAGATAATTTGTATATTGATACAAGTTCAAAACTTGTCATATTAACATATGTTCTACTCCTATTTAAACCATTTGTATATACTCATACAAATGCAAATTACACTTGTCATGCTATATGTATGTTCTACTTCTGTTTAGGATATTTTGTATGTTGATACATAGTAAGGATGTTGTTATCATATTGCAATATACAGTTCTACCTCTGATCAAGATATTTTGTATATTGTCACAAATTCAAGGTCATTGTCCTTATACTGTATAGATGTTTACAGATTATTTGTTTTTTTCGAGACAAGGTTTCTCTGTGTAGCTTTGGAGTTTGGAGCCTATCCTAGCATTCACTCTGTAGATCAGGCTGGCCTCGAATTCACAGAGATCTGCCTGCCTCTGCCCTCCGAGTGCTGGGATTAAAGGGGTGCGCCACCAACACCCAGCCAGATTGTTTATTTTTATATGTGAATCCTTAGTCTTTAAGCTATTTAGGTCAGTAAGAAATATATGGTAATCGTTACCCATGCTTGTCATACCTATAGCCATATCTAGTTAGGTTTTCTAAATATACAGAGATATATTTCAGATGGTTAGGTAATCTTCAGACACTTCATAGACCTAGGGAATATGGCATTTAAGTGTTTTAATAACTTAGAATTCTATTGACGTGAGACATGATTGCTCCTGGCAATCATGTTGGGTATCAAAGACACTCCATACAGAATTTGTCTTCTTCTTAGTAAAATGGCCTGCTAGGCAAAGAACTGCCCTTGCCTTGTCTGCTGACAGTAAGCACACTCTCCAATCTGGACAAACAGGACACAAGGAAAAACGACTGTTGAATCTTGCCAAGACAGGGTAGGACAGTCTTTCAAATTTTCCTGCTTCTGAAAATGCTCTGTCATATATTCTAGGCCTCTAGTCAAAAGTGGATGTTCTTCAGAGACAGTTGCCTTTGGCTGTTCTGTGATGAAAGATGCCTTCTACACACTGTCCTAACTGCAGAGTCAGCTATTCCTGGGAAAAGGACTTAAAATGGCATGGGACATAAAGTTATTTAATCAACAGCTTCTATTTTTTTAGATTTACAGAACAAACCTAGAACCTCTGATGACTTTATGGATACAAACAGTCTGTGCATTAGAAAAGCAAACTACCAAAAATTCAGAATTACTGCTGTTCCTGCCAATTTCAAAGGCCTACCCACCCCATGTCCCCACCCAAAATCAATCCCTATAAAGCCTTGTACCTGCAACCCCTCACAAGATGGTGTTGTCGTCATTGTCTTCTTCTTCTCTTCTTCTTCTTCTTCTTCTTCTTCTTCTTCTTCTTCTTCTTCTTCTTCTTCTTCTTCTTCTTCTTCTTCTTCTCCTTCCTCCTCCTCCACCTTCCCCTCCTTCTTCTTCATCCTCCTTCTCCTCCTCCTCCTTCTCCTTCTCCTTCTTCTAATATATCCAAGAGTCCTCACCTACCAACTTTCCAGCTTATTGTCAATAAAGCTCTTCTTTTCCCCACCACCTTCTCTCTTAAATGTTTGGTTTCACCAGGTAGCAACAAAACTTAACCCTGCAGTGTCTTATTCAGGGTTTCTATGGCCACGATAAACACCATGATCAAAGGTAAGTTGAGGAGGAAAGGGCTTATTTGGCTCATGTATTCCCATCACCATTCATTACTAAAGGAAGTTAGAACAGGAACTCAAACAGTGCAGGAACCTGGAGGCAGGAGCTGATGCAGATGCCATGGAGGATGCTGCTTACTGACTTGCTCCTTATGGCTTGCTCAGCCTGCTTTCTTATATAACCCAGGACCACCAGCCCAGGGGTGTCACCAACCACAATGGATTGGACCCTCCCCCATCACTAAGTAAGAAAATGCTCTACAGGTTTACCTGCAGCCCAATCTTAAAGCATTTCCTTAAATAAGGCTCCCTCCTCTAGTCTGTGTCAAGTTGACATAAAACTAGCCAGCACACACAGCTATGCTGCAACTGATGCTTATGTAAAAATGCTGCAAATACTCAGATTTTCAAAGGGAAAAAAAGAGAAATATCTGTAGCTATAGCAGGATATTCTCATTGGATAGAAAGCAAACAAAACCAGGATAGAGCTGGGCAAGAAGCAAGCAAGGCATCAGGCCTGCTCCTTAGAGTTTCTTGCTTCAACCTGTCCCAGTTTTTACCTCTGTCACTTTGAGGCACATGCAGGATCGTTTCTTTACCCAATTTAGTCTATCTTCTGCTTTAAAACTATACACTGAGGTCTTCTTCTGTTTTAATAAACATCCCAATTGTTACTATCACTCATTTTAAATTCTGTTTTCTCCTTTTCTACTATGTATTTGTCAGGTGTTATAGTTTCTTCCTTACTTCAAACATGTTCAAGTTTATCTTTTTCAAAATGTTAAATGTACTGATCCCCAAGTTTCAACTTTAGAACCGAAGTCCTTATAAAGTCTTCCTGGCTCTGATTTGTATGTCAAGAGGTCTGGTTACCAATTCCTAAGTGCAAGAGTGACCTAAGATTATTACATCCAGCTAAGCTTCTGGCCACATTTACAAGCAAAAATCAAAACAAAAACAAAAACAAACAACAAAAAAATAAAAAACCTACACTCACAATTTTCTAAAGACCAAAAAAAAAGGGGGGAATTTTGGGTTACCTTCTTGAAACTACTCAATGACAAAAAACAAACAAAAGCAAGCAAACAAACAAAAACAGACACAATATCCAACAAAGCAAGTACTCTAAAGCTGTGGAACCAAGATGATTTGCTAAACACATAACTAAGATTAAACAACCTTATACATTATGACTCTTAATCAATTTCTGATAATGATACATTTATTTATTTAGTCAGTCAGTTTGCTTGTTTTCTGAGACAAGGAAGATCTCATGTAGCCCAGGGTAATCTCAAGCTAGCTGTGTAGCTGATCCTTGCTTTAAACTCCTGGCTCTCCTGACTCCATCTCCCAAATACTGAGATTACAGGCTTTTAATCACAGTTCAGTGGTACATTTATCCTTTATAAGATAACTTTATAATGTAATACAATTGGCTAGCCACAATATGCCAGTCAAAACTGATACCAGACGTTGCTGTGCCCCACTCGGGAGCACTAACCCTGCTGCAAACCTTGGGCATCAGTTGCAGTCCGGCTTCTGATCTCTTCCTTTTCTTTCCTTTGCTCTTTCCTGCTTCAGCTTTTGCCAGCACCCTTCCTATTGAGGTATGATATTCCAGGGCCCCGGACGAAAAGCCTTTCTTTCCTTGACTCCCTTTCTCATCCATCTCTTTTCTCCTGGGTCACAAATATTTCTATCACATACTCATGTCATACAATGTTTTAGGAAAAGTAGAACTTTCTGAAAAAGCCTTTGGGTGTGTGAGCTCTGAAGCTCTGGGAACCTAGGTTCACTTGGTGTTAAGAACTAAGAATAGCTTCCTATCCACCCAGCTCTGAGATGAGTTTGCTGTAGAAGCATGAAAGTATTTGTTTAAGTTTCCTACACTGTATAGTGATTAAAAAAAATAATAAAACTTTTTCGTGGGTCATTAAAAACTTATGACAAACTAAAAGTGGGCCTAGAAGGGCCATTACTTATTTTTATAATTCAGACCAAATAATCAATACTATCACTTACCATGTCATAAATAAAACAATAATGCTACAGTTTGGATCTGGAATGCCCCCATCCTCCCCTGGGCCCATGTGTAATTTGGTTCTGACTTGGCTCGAGTGAGAAGTGACATAAACTTTAAGAGGTATGGCTTAACGGGATATTATAGTTCATGGCAGAGTGTGCCCTCAGAGAAGACTGTAGGACTCTAGTGCTTTCTGTTTTTTTTCACACCCATCTATGAAGTAAACGTGCCTTACCTGCTTCCTGTCTCTCCCTTAATATACCACCCTGCCACAGACCCAAAGCAACGGAACCAAGTGATCCTGGACTGAGACCTCTGAAACTGAGACAAAATACACCTCCTATATTTTAGCTGATACCAGTAAGGCATGTGTTAGAGCAATGGGAAGCTGACTAACTCAAGAACAAAGAGGACTTCAATTTCATGAATATAAACATACACTCACCTGCCGAAATACTTCATTCACAAAATTCACATAGCCTCGTGTTGACAGGAGGATTTGCTGCACCATTTCATACACTGTTCGATGCTCTTCTTCGATGCTACAGAGACTGGAGTTGCTGAGTCTTCGGTCAGATAAGGTGCTACTGTTAGAATGGCTTTTGTCCTGCTCTGTGGACCCATCACCATCCAGCTCTGGAACCTTTTCTTGTGCTGCACCAACACCAACGGTCTGGAAAATGTCATCATACATCATAGCAATCCACATCCTCAATCACCAGCACCCAGCAAAATTGAGTCTTGTCTTGCTCATTGCCTTTTGGGATTTGTGTGTGCTGCAGCACTAGAGATGAAACCTACAATCTCACATGTGTAAGCATGTGCTCTGCCAAGGATCCACACCCCTGGACTGAGGTCGTGTCTTCTTTCCAAGTACTCTGATTACCATGAACTTGACCAGGATATAGCAAGGTGCCTGAAGCATGACTCCTGAACTTCTACTTACCAGTTAATCAAAAAATCCTTCTTCAACTCAGTGACTTTAGCAGGAAAACTACTATGTTATTTTAGGGAAGAGGGCTGTGAAATCTTGTCAGCTAAAAAGTTTAATTTGCATTTGTGAAACCACAAAATAAGTTAATGTGTCAATGCAATGTGTGCCAACATCACACCAGAGCTCTACACTTACTCATTTACTCTGCTGTCACAGAGGTGTGAAAACTTGGAAGACTACTTATAACAAAAGCACTGAGAATCAGCAGGTCCAGGCCCAGAAGGTGAACAGTTAACATTTTCCATGTCTTAAAACATTTTGTTCTTGGAGTCCCTAGTAGCCATATAAGAAATCTAATGACCCTGCTAATGAAACAGTATAAACCAGTTCCAGATGAGCCAGCCTTCTCTCCAACTAGCAATAACAGGCATGTGAGTGAAATCATCTTAGATCCTCCAGACCAACCATCTACCAGCTAAAACTAAGCACCCAAGAGCCCGTGAAACTCACAAGATGTACTAAGCCAGATCCTGTCCCCTAAAGTAAAATCAAAAAATTAAGTTGAAAGCTTTCTGCTTTTAGAAACTAAGTTTTGAGGTTTATTTTACAGCAATGAAATAACTAAAACAGCATGAAGAATTATGTAGCATCAAGCACCTTGACAAGATAGTAATTGATTTGTTGTTTTGTTTGGTGATAGCTTCCTTGTGTTTTGGTTTTGGTTTTTCGAGACAGGGCTTCTCTGTGCTGTCCTGGAACTCAGAGATCCACTTGCCTCTGACTCTGCAGCATTAGGATTAAGTGCATACCACCACACTTAGCTTCCTCCCTTTAGATCTATGAAAGAATATTGTATTTTACATTGGAATAAAAATTTTAAGGAAATAAATGTAATCATTACCATATTTGTTTCATCTTCTAACTTCTGAAGTATAAACTTAAGGTTTTTTGTTTTGTTTTGAACTATCTTTCAGCAAGCCCTCCATCATTCTTATTGTAATTCTATCCCAAGACTATTGAAAACAAGCTTGCCCTCTGGGTCCTCTGACAGGCTCTAGACTTCTTGGTGTTCCTCCTTCCACCAAGGCAATAATGGCCCTGAAGTACACCAACTACTGATCTGCTTCCTCCAGTTTATATTTCCCCAGCTTGGATCAATGTCCTATTTATGGACCCTCCTTGACATCAGCAAATCTTCAGTAAGTGCACTATACTTGCTGGGCCTATTCTTGGGGACAAGAAACAATAATAATCAGCCCACACCAAGCCATGACCCTTCATATTGACTGATCTCTGAGTTCTAAAAACAGTAGTGCTCTACCAAGCATACATACTGAAGACCCTACTACCTAAGAAGTTTTCTGAAGGCCTCAGACAAAGGCAGATGTCTTTCTAGAAACGACACCATAAGGCAACAGCCCCTGGATCCTGAGCTGCTAGTCCAAGTCCTCTCCTGAGAAGACAGAGGAGGGCATGAGCCCTCTCCATAGGCCACATCTACATAACCTGAGGCCCTTCCAGCTACTGGTGATTAATGAAGAAAAGACAGGACCCTGTGTCTGTGCTCAGAAGAGACAACACTTAAGCAAAGGAGAAAGAAGGGAGACGGGAGAGTACCCACGAGAGCTATCATCTCAGAATTCTCCTTGTCCCTGAAGTTGCCTTCTTATAGCCAATTCAAGTACTTCATGCCATTGCTTCAGACTAAAGCCCCCTCTGAAACCTCAGTCCTTCAGACATGTAAGCCAGTAACTAAAAACCTACAAGAACCACAGCTCTAACAGTTTCTTTGCTAATGTGTGAGTGTGTTTATTATATAAGAAAAAGAGATTTTGAAACAATGGCTGGCATACCTGGATGATCTTAGGCAATACATCAACTCCATTTTTAGTGTTTTGTGTTGCAGTTAGATATTTTTTTTCCAAAAAGAAAGTTACAATCCATTTAATGAAAACAACACGAGCTGCCATGTATGGAATTTTTGTACTGTAAATTGTTTCATTATCTCGAGTTATAGTAACATATACTGGCTTTGGTCTCAAATGGGGGATTTCTGACAGAAAGAAAAAGAAAACATAATAATTAAGTTAGTGAATCTTAACATCACATAATCTCTATGAATGGTTCCAATTAATAGACATATATTTGTTTGTTTGAATAGTAACTAAAACTGACCACCTATAAATGTTTAAAAACAGTATCTTCTAGAAGGCTTGATTCTGATTTTGCCTTGCAATATAAATAAAAAAAGGTGGCTGTTATTGCCTACATACTGCAATAGTATATCACCATGCTAATTGCTCTCATTGACAATTTTGAGGATAATTTGAGACTACAATAGTGAATATATCTTTATTTCTGGCACAGCTAATTTAATGTTATTTTATGACTGGAGCAAATGTAAAAGCAAACATGAACTTTAGCAAAAAACAAAATCTAAAGCTAGATATGGAAGTATAAGTCTGTAATCCCCACACTCAGGAAGCCAAGACTTTTCATCTAAATAAACTCAGAAACTCAGTTTTCATTAAGTTTCAACAACTGTGAATACTATATGGCTGGATTTGAGATAGGAAGTTGCCATAAGTCCTACCCTGTATCTTAACTACTTCCTATATTCCTGGAGTACTTTGGTGAGACTAAAACACTGACAATAAATAACTTTTTTGTTTTTCTTTTTCCATACAGAATCTCTACATGGAGTCAAAATTGGCTTCTAACTCACAATTCTCCTGCCTCAAGTTTCAAGGCCTAGGATGCAGTTATGGGTCATCGTGACTAGTTTCAATACATAACCTTCTAACTAATAACATCAACAAAGTATAGTGTTTTTTTCAATGAATACAGACAACACATAAAGTCAGAAACAAATTTTGGGGAAAAAAAAATATAAACCACAGGATCCGGTACCCTTGTAAGCCATTTATTTTAAATGTTTTTAAATTCACCAAGCTTCAGCTATTCTCCCTTCTCATGTATCTTTGTCCACGAGGCTGTGAGTCCATGAGTCCAAGTGCGTGCGTGCGTGCGTGCGTGCGTGTGTGTGCGTGTGTGTAGTAGAGACAGCTGAATTGGTTGGGCACATCTTACAGATAGAGTACAGTCCCTTATGACCTTTACTCCTCCAAAGTTTTTCTCCTCCAAAGTTATTCTTGATTATCCACCTAACTAATTTTATGTTTTTGTAAGGAGATTTGTTCCCACTTTCACCACTGTAAGGGATTATTTCATCCTGTGAATCCTAATTTCTTGTAAAAGGAAATTTTAGGAGCTAAGTTAAATGTTCCTTTCTGTTTCCCAGCATTCTGGGGCCTCCTGTCCCTAGACTGTCACATCATTCAAGCATCTTCCTCTATAAGTACCTACCAGTATGCTGGTAGATAAGAGCCCCAACATAAAGTACATTCCTCCAGCAGGTGTGTGCCCTGGGCTGGACTGTCTAACCCTTGAGCAAGGTCTGACATCACTATAACTCATCACCCATAAGAGAAGTCTGAGAAATGTAAAATATGACATTAAAAGGTGACAAACATACAAAGATATCACAGTTTAAATTATCTTTATAGAAACCATGGTCCTATTTATTTCAATGAGGCAAAATCTCTTAGTAAGTTCCCATAATTGAATCATTCATTAAGTAACTTTAACTTCTCACAATAACATTACCATTCAATAGGAACATAAAGTGACTATTTTGCCTTAAAATGTCACAGGGATTACTATGACATCAACTGCAGTTTTCCTGTGGATGCATTCACACAGGAATCAAAGAGTACTTACCAAGTACAGGTTTGTAGATGTTGGTTAACTTAGTAAATGATGGAAACAAATGAGGAAGATAATACTTTCGAAACAGTGTAAAAAGAAATTTAAAACCAGTATCTTGATTCTCCTTATTCTTCCACTCCAAGCTTGCCGCCTTTGGATAATATGTGGGAAAGAATACTTGTATATTTACAGTTTAAATTAACATATACAAACATAGATTATTTTAGATTAAAATTCCTACTGTAAATGTTTAAATGATAATATTGGTAATAATATAATGAAATCATATCTGAACAAAGCTGAAAGGATACCCATGAACCTATGACTGAGTGTCACAGATCCTACTTATTTTGCTAAAGGGCTATCAAACTGCCTTCTAAATACTCATTTATTCCCACAGTTAGGACATCTCACAGCCCTCATCAGAAAAGCTTCTTCATGTGGTGGATGGTGGTTAGCAGAGATTCACAACTGTTCAAAATATAAAGAGTACATGACTGTGGAATGCTCAGCCCCAAACATAACAGTATGCATCAACTTTCCCCACAGCTCGGGGAACATCTTGGAAAAAGGAGAGGAAAATTCTAAATGTTGCCTGCACAAAGTCAAGCAAATCAATATTAGAAAATGGACAGATGAGAAGCTTTTGGCAGGTGATAGCTACTGGGTGAAAGAGAGTCAGTTTTCTTCAGCAGTGTGGCCCATGGTAGGCTGCTCATGATGCAAAAGATGACCCTACACCTATGCACATTTAGGCAGCTCTAATTGTACTCAGTGGGTTGTTTTTAAAAGGGAGTGCTGGGTTAGATGGCATACTCAGGAGACAGAGAGAGGTGGAGTTTAAGGTCAACCTCATCTACATAGCAAGTTTTAGGCCAGCCAGAGCTACTTAGTTTGACTCAGACTCAAAAAAAAGGAAGAAGAAGAGGAGGTATGAAGTTGAAGGATTATAGAGGAGAGGAGGGGGAGACAGGAAGAAGCAGCACAAAGAGGCATAAAGATGATCAAAACTTGTGTATGAAATCACATAACTTTTTTCTTAAATAACTTTTTCCTTAAATAATTCACACCAAAAAAGTGTCCACACCAAGTATTGCTGAAGTGACCCAGCAATGATGCATGCCCTGTGTTTAATTAATCACCACATAAAATCACCTCAGGGAAAGCAATATAGATACCCAGAAAAAAAAGACAGTAACTCTCCTTCCTATCAAGATAAACCTAGCAGTCAGACAGCCTGGTTCTCCCTGACCTGGATAACCATATATTTCAATAGTATGTAAAGAAAAAAGCCCATTGTTCTCTGACCTGGATAACCATATATTTCAACAGTATTTGAAGAAAAAAGCAGGTCTGGTCCTCGGCGATCTTTTCCCCTGATATGGCTGGCAGAAGTGGGGTGATTTCTTCTGGGTATATTTTTGCTAAAAGGTAAAAAATAATGAGAGCTTATTCATGAAAGTTAAATTTTACATAAGGGTTTAAAAATGGTCTCTATTACAACATATCTATTCAGCCACTGGAACTGCACAGACTGAACCCCAACCAGTATGAACAAGGGCTTAGGGACCAGTATACAGGTCCACAGAGCCTTTTTTCATTAGGCCACTCTTTCCTATTCACATTCTGTCTTGGTCAGCCTACAATCCAATGCAATGAAGTGTTACACAGTAAGTTAACACTTGCAGGACATAGAGAGTTCATTGAGGTCACTAATGTCCTACAAATGCTACATGGAAAAACACAGCTGGCAAAGAAAGATGAATGGCCTCTTAAAAACACAACAGTAATAAGAACAATGGACAGTGGCTAGGGAAGACAGATTTAAATTTCATTAGCTGACACAAAACACTTGTTAAGTCACATTGTAATCAACATCTGTCCCTGCCTTCCATTCCTGTTTGTATCACCTCAGAAATTTTCTCGTTATAATTTAATAGAAAATAGACTCCAGGTTTTTTGTTCTGGTTTGTTTGTTTGTTTTGTTTTGTTTTTTAAGACAGAGTCTCTCATATAGCCCAGGCTGGCCTCAAACTTATTAGGTAATTAAGGCTGACCTTAAAATCCTGATCTTCTTGCTTCCACCTCCAAAATCCAAGTGCTGAGATTGCAGGCTTATGCCACCACTTCCTGTACCCTAAATGTTTTATTTATTTATTATTTATTTATTTATTTTTTTTGGTGGGACTGTGAGTTCACCCTATGGCCTTGACTATAATGTCATTAGGAATCCTCTGTGAATCACAAGGCTTCATCAGAGTTTCTATTCAAGAACATCAACACCAAGGAAACCCTCAAAGTAAGCTGGAGAATAATTTCAGGGGCTTGAGAGATGGCTCAGAAATTAAGAGCACTTGGTTTGCTGCTCTTCCAGAGGATCTGAGTTTGGCTCCCAGCACCCATGTCAGGTGGCTCACAATCATTTGTAACTCTAGCTCCTGGGGGATCTGGTATCCTCTTCTGGTTTCTTTGGGTGCCCATACACACAAAAAATACACATACAGACACACACGCATGTGTGCACACACACATACATATCTCTAAAATAAAAACTAAAAGAGTTATTTCAGCATGTCAACCCTGCTAATGCTGCTTACCATCAGATACACTAGGGCTAGGGTTGATGAGTGTTTCCAGTGTACAGGGCCCCCTCGATGACAGGACTGCTGGGAAACCAGGCACCAGGCAAGCAAAAATCAGCACCTGCTCTTCTGCACAGTTTGTCTGAAGTGCTTGAAGCCACAAAAGAAACAGTCTGATTCCTTCACATCTTATCTAAAAACAAAAAATCAAATATTTAACGCATATTTATAGAAATGCCTTGCAATTTGGAACATTAGCCTTTAAAAAAAGAGAGAAAGGGAAACAGAGAGAGAGAGAGAGACAGAGTCAGATAGGGTATGGTGGCATAGTATCTATAATCCTAGCACTTGGGAGTCTGAGATAGGAAAACCTTAGTTTCAGGTCAGCCTCAGCTTCAAAGCATGATCCTCCCCACCCCAAAAAAGAGGAAGGGAAGGAAGTGAGGGAAAGAGAGGGATAAAAGTATTACTAAAGTATACAAGCTCTTCCCTCAGTAACAAACAAGGAAGCCTGGATTCAAATTCACCCTCTGCTACTGTCTAGCTGCTGTGATTCATGAAGAATCGCTTGACTTCTCTATGTCTTAGCTGCCCCATCTGTGAAATGGGAGGATAGAGTGAGTTAACATGTATAAGACACATAAAGCAGTGTCTCGATCTCACTGAACTATTAATAGTATTTCACTCTGTAAGGCAACAGTATCTCCATCATCAATGCTCGATTGTCCACTGGAACAAGGAAGAGATACTCTACTCTCACATTTACACTATGGGAGAACAGAGTAGAATTTCAGTCATGTTAACACAATGTTCTTTGGTGCTAAATGGGACTCTGAAGAGCTGGCTGAGTGGCATGGGGCTGCTTTCCAGCATGCCTGCCTCATGTCTGTACTCAGCTCCCTCCCTTCCTCCCCTTCATCGTGATCTGAATGGTGAGCAGTACCCAATAGAAAACAAACCAACACATCCCCCTTCACTCTATATTCACTTCCATCTCAACCCTCTTTTAGAATTAAAAACACACATTCCTTCTTTTCTGTATTCATAAATGATTTAAAAAGATGTCAAGAAAAGAAAATATATAAGTAGATGAGAATTTAAAACATGTTAGACACGCTGGAAGAGTTCCTACAGCCTTTAATCACAACACCCTCTTCTGACCTCTGCTAGCACCAAAAACACATGTGGTACAAACACTCAAACATACAATGAAAACATAAATCTTAAAAAATGTAAAGAAATATCCCATTATCCTTTCATAAAAAATGATTACCTTAATAGAATTTCCAGTGTGTAGAAGCTTCTTTAAAGTTGAGCCTGGAAGTTTAAAATACCTGATTAGAAATAGAGTATACTAATAAATGTTTAAGGCATACAATGAAATATTTAATATCTATATCTATTTTACCCTATTTTTAATTATGTGTGTAGATGTGATGTATGCATGCATGCATGTGCATGACAGTGCAGTGCAGTTGGCCTCAGAACCAGGAGAGGGCACTGGATGCCCTGGAACTAGTGTTACAGCCAGTTGTAAGCCACATGTGTGGGTGCTTGGAACCAAATCCATGTCTTCTGCAAGAGCAGCAAGTGTTCTTAACACAACAGTCCTCAAATACCTGCGTAAAGATCAGCTTTAGAAAGGAAAAAAGAATGCATGCCTTTTAAAAAATATAATGCTGACCTTCAAAGACAAAGAACCACACAGGAGAAGAGATAACTTTAAAGAGAGCTGTACTTTGAGTATGAGCAAAGCCATACAATGGAATACTGTTCTACTTAGAAATAAAAAAGAATGAACTATTAATATATTGCATACAGATCAATCTCAAGATAAGTATAGCATAAAAGATGCTATGCTGGCTACTTTTATGTCAACTTAATACAAGCTGTTGTCATCTGAGAGAAGGGAACCTCAATTAAGAAAATGCCTCCATAACCTCAGACTGTAGGCAAGCCAGTAGAGGATATTCCTAATTGGTGATTGATGTGGGAAGGGCTGGTGGGTCCTGGGTTCTATAGGAAAGAAGGTTAAGCAAGCCATGAGGGCCAAGACAATAAGCATTAGGTCCTGCCTCCAAGTTCCTGCTGAGTTTGAGTTCCTACCTTGGCATCCCTCAGTGATTCAGGATATGTAAACCAAAGAAACCCTTTCCTTTCCAAGTTGGTCATGGTGTTTCACCACAGCAATAATAATTTTAACTAAGGCAGATGTCAAACAAACAAAAAAGAAAAGTGTTACATGATTCTATCTAAGCAAAACTATAGAAAATGCAAAGGCAGACTAGTGGTAGATTTGAAGAAATCCAACATCCCAATTTTATTTCTTTTATGGGTTTTACTTTCAGTGTCATATCTAGGAAATCTTGTGAAATGTACTAGTGGTTGGGGCTGAGGTAGGGAAGAAGGGAACAGATGGATTACTAAAGAAGTTGAGGACTGATGCTATGTTCATGATATTTTTTTTACATATTCTGTTTATTCCACCTCCAATAAAGCTATTGTATAAATAATAATAAACAGAACAGGTGGCCTGGAAGTGACTAGGTAAGAGATTAGAAAGATGGAGGTTTGTTAGTACACAGATAGCCATATGATAACAAAGGGCAAGAAGCCACTTGAGGATGAGGAGACGGATAATGTGCTTATAGATAGCAATGAGAAGGAACAGGAGAGAACAAAACCATGAAAAAAAACAGAGATGAGAAAACATGACACCAAACTGGCACAGTCCAACAAGGGAACTGAACCATTTCTGGAATTAGCACTACATAAAGAAAGTCCATGACCTCATCTCCAAGATCCTGAGGGAGACAAAGGCAGCACCAAGAAAAGCAAGGTTTCAGATGACCAAGGAGGTGAAAGAAAGGCCAAGCTGTGGGGCTGCTGCTTAACCAAGACAACTGGCTCCATGATCACAGCAGCATAACTTCCAGCCTTCCCCCATGAACTTAGACAAGTAGGGCACTTGGGTTAGCTCATCCTGGCCATGAGGATTCTACCCGAATAACCAAGAATGCTGCACACAGTTACTTCTTATTGCCATATAACCGATTCTCACAAATCCCCAGGGAACCTATTTAGGTGATACTTTGCATTTTTAAACTTTAACCTTATTCTAAATATATAATCAAAAGCTTTAAGAAATACTAGAGTACACTTGCTCAAATTTAAGGGAAATTTTTATTTACTTATTTGAAAGATTTAAAGATTAAGGAGATCTCTCAGAATAAAGATGTAGTCCCTAAATTCCATGGATATATATAGTATACATGCTTTGCCTTCTTTAAATTTAAATTTGTAACACAAAACCTGAATTCAGGTTCTGTAAGAGTTTATTACCTGTTTTCATAGAAACAATCCTAAATTAAAATTAGAACTCTGGATTTTAGAGTATCTACTATCTTCTTTCAGGTTCTTTGACTTTGTACATGTTGCTCTCCCAACCAGGAAGCTCTGCTCACCTTTCAAGGCTCAGGTGGACGTGACTTCTCTTGAAGAGTTCCTCAACTTCGCCTGCATAGAAGACCTATTCAACCTTTCTTCTCCTGTCCTACAATATTCCCCTCACAACAAGAAGTACACTATAATTACTTTTCTCATCTATCTACCAATGGAACAAGAGGCCCATCTAAAGCAAGTATGGCAACATGGTCTTTGTTTCTGCCCCAAAGTTTTGTCTCTCCTTCAATAAATAGTGGAAGAAATTAATTATCAAATAAAGTAAGATTCCATTCCAAGGTTAATGTTTTCCTCCAATATAGCCATCTGGTAAGGAACAAAAACTGTATCAAGTGGGAGAGCGATATAGGTAGAAGAACTGAAGTAGGGACTCTTTAAAAAAAAACACACATGCAGAATTCATAATGGATACCCTGGAATGCTCCAGTTAGGCTGGGCATTTTAAATTGCAGCTGTGCTATCAGGTGTAAAGAGCTGGGAAGTAAGGACAACAATGTCACTTGCTTTATTTCAAGTTCCCTCGGGCTGCCACAATGTAAAATACTCAAACAGGGGAATTTTGAATCAATAATACAGGCTTAAAAAGAACAATTTTTTGATAAAGAATAATGTCAATTATTTAAGAAAATACTCTAGTTCAGTGCTTCAACTTAATGTGCACAAGAATCCTTCTGTGTCTCGTGTCAAAAAGACCCCATGCTCAATAGATCAGACTGGGGCCTGAAATTGTGCATCTTTAATACACTCCTGGGGAGCCCACAGCCTATACTTCAAAGAGCACATTTAGAATGAGAGATTTAATTTTTTAATATTTATTCATTGTAAACTTAGTACACATATACAACCTCTTTTGATCATACGCATTTCCCATTCCCTGCTGCAACTCCTGCTGTACTATAGCCCCTTCCAACTTCATGTCCTCTGCTGTTTTTATAAACCCCTCTTTCATTCATCCTATAACATTAACAAGCTAGATCTTGAGCAGATCTTGTGCAACTGCAGCAACTGTGAGTTCATTAGTACAATAACCCTTCCCAACTTCTGACTCTTCTTAGCTAGTTCCTGAGCCTTTGGTAGAAGAGATATGATACAGATGATGGATTTAGGGCTGAGCACTCCACAGTCACTTTATTCTCTGCACTCGATCAGTTGTGGTAAGAGAGAGGTTTTCCTACAAAGTCCAAGCTGGACTTTATTCTAATTACCATGCCTGTAATTCTTTCTATAAGCTAACTTGATGGTATTAGCTACATAAAACACTCCTGAAACCTCAACTAGTAGAAATGCACACTACTAATACATTGTTTGCTTTCATCTTACCTATACTCTGGTAATGCCATCGAAAGAAAATTCGTTCAGGTAGAAACTGCAGTATTTTCTACAAGATAAGAATAAAAAAAATGAAATACATTTTTGTGATAGGTCAATATTACTCACCTCCCCCTCAGCACACAAATAAATAAATAAATATAAATTTAAAATACATACATAAGAATCTCATAAAATTAATGCCTACAAGTAGGCCTTAGGGTTGTACTTATGAAAGCACCCATTAGTGGACAACAAACAAATTTCTGGAGAACAAGAGGACTGGGCTAATGAAAGCAGGCCTCACTATGGAAACCTGACTGTTGGGCGAGGGAGAGTCAGCTCTTCGGGGATATGTCCCTGGAGACTACGTATGCTCCAATGGATGATCCTATGCCCATGCACCTACAAGAAGCACTAAGTGATTCTATGGATTAAAAATTAGAGAACATGAAGTTGGGAGGGAAAAGGGAAGAGTTGGAGGAGAGTTTGTAAAAGGAGTGGATTTAATCAAAATACATTATATTCATGTATGAAATCCTCAAACAATTCTTAAAGATTTTATTATGCTCACAAAACAAAACAAAACAAAACCCTGAAATCAATGAGAATGACCTTCCCCCAACCTGACTCTAGAGCACATTCTGGTAAATTATACTTAGATTATAAGATTCATTTTATTTTTAATAACTACTTAAAATACTCATGTTTTTTAAAATTTATTGTTGGGGGAATTTAGTGATTCATGGTTCTTGTTTTGAAAAGAAAAAAGGGAGATACAGATATTATGGGTTAAAAGGGTAGATTATTGAATATACTTTTAAAAAGCAACTACTAGTTTAAAATATTTTATATTGGATTGGACTTCTGCATATTGCATACAAATTTTGTATATTGATACAAATTTGAGAGTAATTTTGTTAAAATATATTATACATATGTTTCTAATCTTGTTCAGGATATTGTACCTATATAGCTCTTTTAACAAAGTAGTGCAAATTTCTAGTCCTTGAAAGTTATTATTACAACTGTTTAGGATAATAAGGAAATGTAGGTTAGTAATTAGTCACCTATTACAATCAAATTTGTGGTCATATTAGGAATGTTTACAAGGTGAAATAGATATACTTTAGATAGTCTTCAAATGCTTCAGAGATCTACAGAATATGACATTTTAAATATTTTAATAACAGGTTCTTTTTTATGACAATGAGACATGTCTGCTCCTGCCAACACCAATCTACTTCAGAGAGGATGATGGGCACCATAGAAACTCCACATGAAGTTTACTTTCTTGGTGGCAAAATTCAGCCTCTAGGCAAGAAAGTGCTCTTGCCTTGACTGTTGACAGTATGTTGTCCAAATTAGACAAGCGGGACACAAAAGAGAGTGACTGACGAACCTTGCCAAGACAAGGTGAGGCAGTCTTTCAAAACTGCTTCACAGAAGAGTATCAGATATGCTAGGCCTATAGGTCGAAGACGGATGCCCCAACATTGCAGAGGAACTTGCTTGCTTGTTTGCATTTCCTGATTACTCAGTTAATATTATTTCCTTCTCAGGTCTCTGAGGGTGTTGAAGATTAGATGGTTATATTTTTCCTTGTTTATCAGATATAGAAAAGAAACTCACTAAAGAGGTATAAAGTGTATAAGATTGAGAGATATCAAAACATAGTTTTGAATGGTAATGCAAGTTATGATAGAAAGTAAATTAGGTACAAGACTTTGGACTAGATAATGGAGTATTTTCTCTGAATTTGTCAAATGTAAATGGACTAGACATGGTTAATGTACTTATTGCCTGTATATATTGTATAGTTACCATACTTACTGTATATAGTTTTTCTTATATTAGTTATAGCTGGTGGGTCAGCTTCCATAGAGGGGTGATTTAAAGGTAGGCTCCAGCCCTGGCTTGACTCATTGGGGTCAAAATTGTCAGGGAATTTTTGAGAGCCTACCCCCACAGAAAGGCAGCCAGCATTCTCATTAAGGTTAGAAGTGAGTATATTAAGTATGGGTGCTACTAGTTCCTACCCTCTTTTGGAGGACCATTTGATCCAATTGTTAAAATGTCAGGGCACAATTATCAGACATAAGACAGCTAAGGACTTCTTAAAAACTATACATAAAGTCAGTCCTTGGTTTTTGGTCTCTGGTGATCTTAATTCCCTTGATTGGAATCAGGTTAGAGTGGACCTACAAAGAACTTTACATAAAGAAGGGCCAAGCGCCATTCTCCTTGTAAGAATGAGCCACTGTTTTTGTTTTCATTTACATCCTTAGCCCTTTGCCTCCGATCGTTCTGAAGTGTTGTAGCCCCGTAGCCTGGAACACTGGTGGCTCGCTACATATAGCCTTCTTTTTTATCTTAGACAAAAAAGGGGAAATTGATTTTTTTTTTATGATGGAACAAATAAACCTTGCCTGAAGATCAGAATGCAGAGCTAAGCCACTGTTAGTCACATACCTAGTTAAGAGCTAAACCACTAGTTAGACACACACCTGGTTAAGAGCTAAACCACTAGTTAGACACACACACACACAAACACACACACACACACACACAAAGTCACTAGTTAGCCACACACCTAAGCCACCAGTTAGCCATAGAGGACAGGCAATGGTGGCCACACTTTTAATCCCAACACTCAGGAGACACAGGCAGATAGATTTTTGTGAATTCAAGGTCACCCAGAGTTGCACGAGAGTAAATCAGTATAAAAGAAAAACAGCTGACACCTTTGATCCCAGTACTTGGCATAGCATACTTTTCATCCCAGCACTAGAGAGGAGGTAGGAGCTCAGTGCAGTCTGAGGTTTGGTGGAGAGCATTGAAGTCTGCAGTCACATTGAGGACAGGATCGCCCCTCTTTGGTCCTAGCCTTGGTAGAGGTAAGAACTCTCTTTTAGCTTGGCTGCTTTGCTTTACTGGTCTTCAGCTTGAACCCCAATATCTGTCTCTGGGTTTTTATTATTCTTGCTGTATGGGGAGGGGTGTCAGGGGACAACTGTGGGAATCAGTTTTCTCTTTACACATGTGAGTAACAGGGATTGGAGTGAGTTGTCAAGTGGCAGTACCTTTAGCCACTAAGTCAATTCACTGTCCCAACAACTACTTTTTTTTAATGTAGAAAACTGCAAATGGTCAAAATATACATATTGGCATTGATAACACATTATCACTGCAGGATGAAAATCCCTGTTTTTGCATCCTGCAAAAGCATGAGTCTAAAAACCCTCTGAACTTTGCACATTAATGAGACTGCACAGACTATGGGAACTTTTGAAGTTGGACTAAACACATTTTGCATTGTGATATTGTTACAAGTTTATGGGGGCCAGAGAGTGGAATATGGTGGTCTGAATGCAATTGGCTCCCATAAGCTCATAGGGAGTGGCACTACTTATGAGGTGTGGCTTTGTTGGAGTAGGTATGGCTTTGTTGGAGGAAGTATGTCATGGTGTGGGCAGGCATTGAGGTCTCATATACGCTCAAGGCACAGCCAGTGTCTCAGACCACTTGCTGTTGCCTGCAGATCAAGATGTAAGAACTGTCAGCTTCTACTCCAGCACCATGGCTGCCTGTACGCTGCCTTGATACACACCATGATGATAATGGACTAAACCTTTGAACTATAATATAAGTAAGCCACTTAAATGCTTCCCTTTATAAGAGTTTCTGTGGTTATGTTGTCTCTTCATAGCAATAGAAACCCTAAGACACACATTCACATACACAGTATCTCTCTATGTAGTCCTGGCTGTCCTAGAACTCACTATGTAGATCAGGCTGACCTTGAACTCACAGAGATCCATCTGCCTCTGCCTCCTGAGTGCTAGGATTAAAGGTGTAGGCTACCATGCACAGTTTTTAAAAACTACTTTTAAAAAGGGAATCAGAAGATGTGAAAAGTCAGTTCTTACCACTGAGAGATTCACAGTTGCTATGCAAGTGAGCCATATTTCAGGCCCTAAAAAGTCAGTTCTCTATAAGCCAGCTTCTTAAACTGTGGGGTGTAACTCCAAATAGCATCACCTAACAGTGTAGGAGTTACAAAAGCACAAGGTTTCTGAACAAGCAACAACCAAAAATTAATTCAAAATCAAACATGTAATGAATCTAAGGTGTTACTAGCAGTGCTTGACCATGTTGCACTGCACAAGTTCACTACAGACTTGGTTCAAAACACATAACACACACACTCTGCACTCTGCATTCAACGCCAGTAAGTGCAACCTGAAACACAACAGCTCAGATCTGAGACTATTGTATGCTTTTATTAACTGTAGTGTTTTTACAAGTTTTTTTGATCACATAGAAACATAATGGTTTAACTATGGGCAACAAAGATTTTCACTATTTTTCTACAAACGTTCCTCAAAACGTAAGCATTAAATTGGTGTATCTTTGATTTGTATTGCATTAGTGAGCTTGATTCTTAAAATAGTATGTTGAGTTCAAACTCATTAAATGAATCTTGGCACAAGATTAAGACAGAATTTCTAGCAATATCTGAAATGGCCTTAATGTATTTCTGCTACTTTATGCTATGTATTTATGCAGAGTGGCATTCTCAGCATTGATAGTCATAAAATAAAAATAGTGATCAACTGTAAAAAGTTCTGAAGACATTCTATGTCTTACTTCAAATATTCTGCTAAAATCTAATTCTTAAGGTGAAAATAAATAAGCACATCTATCTTATTAGCATGCAGATTTGATTCCATCTTTAATAAATGGTGAAACTATATGTATATCAAAGAATTATTTTAAGATAAGTTTCTTTGTGACCTATTATCAATAAATGTTTCATTTGGATACCTATTTTATACCTATGCAGACAAAGTAGAGTAAAATTTTCTCTGATAAAAGGAGATCATGAGTAGGATGACAATAAAAACTCAAATAAGCTTTGTCCTACCAAAAGGATATCATCTTTAATGCCCCTGTACCTAACCACCACTCCCACACAATGGCTATTGAATACAATTCATGAGAGCAGAGCCCACAGAGATAAATAACCATAGCCCATGGAAAGCATCAGCAGCACCAGTAACTCTGGAA